ATGTTGTGTTTATGGCTGCATGTAGTGGGGAAATTAATGTAATGATGAGGAGGTCAAATTGTAGAAATGTTTGTTACCTTAATGTTATTTTTTAACTTAGTGACCATTCGTAGGGAAATGAATTTTTATATTCCCAAAACTTTTGCTAAATGCACTATTTTATTTCACAGAGAAAATATTCTGGGGCCTTGAGTGTTCAGGATGTGTTTCAACTGAGAATATTTGTGCCTCAACTGAAGCACTTGCATGGTAACGTTATTAGTAAATTTGTCCAAGAGAACTGCTTACAATTCTTTTTAACCACATAATTTAACAAAATTTGTCAGTCAAATTAGCAAGCCGAGTGAGAAACAAATTTTCCAAACTTCTCGAGTGAAAATAAAACATATTTGTTGCGCGTGTGTTCATGTGTACGTTCTACGGCTCTGAGCGGGGACTGAGAGCCATAGATCTCGGTATAATTTGTGTATTCAAAAATTTGTTGTCTACAAAATATTCAGTGATGACATCGGCCGGAGGAGTAGAATATATGGGAATGATCTCATCCGGCGGGGTAAATAAACTGGTCATGAATATCACAGAGACTCTGAAAAGCTGGTTAGGTTCTCAATTGATTTATTCACATTCTGGCTTCTGAAACAAAAGGTGTCTCGAAATCTCAAAGTTTGTTCATAGATAAAAAATATCATATTGAGACACTTGGACGTATTTGAGACACCTGAACGGTCGTAGGCATCTCGTTTTCGGCGATTGCTCGGAAGAGCCTTGAAACGCCTAAGTGTTTCAAAACAGTGGTCAATTTTTGCTCAGTGATACCCCCAAATTTATAGGCCTATCTCTATCGCCAGTCCTTTTTTCAGGATTTTGAAATAATATCTATACTTGAGTCAAATAAACTTCTCATGTGAAGAATGATACACATTGCTTAGAAAGGAAAAGCTTTAACATTGTTCTGGTTTTCCGCAAGTGTGTCGGAGCTGTGAAGTCGTGTAGTACACAGGCCAGTGAACACCTGCAGCTACAGCTGCTGCTGCAGCTGCTGCTACAGCTGCAGCTACAGCAGCAGCGAACTGCTGGCAACGGCATGAACGCAAGCAGCCACATGAAAAACACATCCAGCCACATGAACACATCCAGCCACATGAACACATGCAGCCACATGAACACATCCAGCCACATGAACACATCCAGCCACATGAACACATCCAGCCACTTGAAGATATCAAGCCACATGAACACATCCAGCCACATCAACACATCCAGCCACATGAAGATATTAAGCCACATGAACACATGCAGCCACATGAGCCCGTGTAGTCGAGGTCACTTGTACACCTGCTAGCGCGAGTCTAAAAATAAACGCGCTTCCTTGTTAACTTCTCCTGAATCATTCGATGTATCTTTGTTCCGTTGGCTGAAACTTGTATAATAATAAATATTAATAATATTGTATATTACATATTATTTTAAAAATTTGTTTGTGTTCTAAGCCTGACACCGTATGGTTCCAAGCGCGTATCCAGGATACATGTATGGCAGCTCAACCTACTTATATGACATCTTGGGACGCGTATCCAGGATACTTACATGACACCTCAAATATATAAGGGCTGATGAGGCTCGTATTCAGGGTACGAATTGCAGCACAATATATAGGGGCAGTTGGGGCGCTGTAGCGGGCCAGCCTTGGCCGCGCTGTAGTTTTCTTCAGCCGCCGCACCTCTCTAACCAAGACCGAAGAGAAGAAGTAGGCGTAGGCAGTTTACTCGAGAAGCAGCTCGTTGCGAGTAGCCAGCCTACTTTTGCCTGACTCACCATGTACAGGTAACCAGACAGCGCACCGCCGGCAGTGAAACACAGTGTAACACAGAACGTATACTGGCAAGCGTGAACGAGGTTCAGCAGTCTGCATATGACGAGTATATAAAGCATACTAACAACGATGTCAGGCACATCGCATATCAGCTATTGTTCGCTCTGTTATGGTTCCATAGAGAGTTGTGCATCTTAAATCTACACACACCACACTGTGTAATGACTGTAAATATCTGTAATTATTGTCCATATAATGTCTGTACTATTAAACCTAAATGCATTTAAATATGATCCTATGTCTTTGAAGCGGGTTTTCCATGAAATATAAGTAAATCTGATGGCTTTTGTAAATTTGCTGAACCAGTTGTCATTCATCCTCGTACGTTAGGGCCCGCTTGCAGAGACCCAGTAACTTTGTGTATGGAGCGTAGTTATCCCGCTACAGCGCGTATCCAGGATACTTTTTTCCGGTAATTATTATTTAGTCTCACCCTCTCCTAAGGCGGGACTATTGCACATCTGTAAAGTTTATTCAGTCAACCACAGGTATTCGTAGAGTTTATAAGTTTTTAATGCTTTTCACCTCAACATGTCGCTTCATACTTCCATGTTAATTTATTCTATTTAATTATCCAAGTGGTTTTAGCTGCACTATCATGTACTCTCACTTTCTTACAATGTACTTTCGTTAGTGAAAGTGTCGCAGATTCAAGTCTACAATCAACACTAATCAACATGCGACCAGTTTGCATGAACTTAGTATGTTGAATGTTATGTTTATAGCTGCATGTAGTGGAGAAATGAATGTAATGATAAACAGGTAAAATTGTAAAAACGTTTGTTACCTTACCGTTATTTTTTAACTTAATGACCATTCGTCGGGAAATGAATTTTTCTATTCTCAAAACGTATGCTATATGCGCTATTTTATTTCACAGAGAAAATATTCTGGGGCCTTGAGTGTTCAGGATGTGTTTCAACTGAGTACATATGTGCCTCAACTCAGGCACAACATCGTAACGTTATTAGTAAAATTGTCCAAGAGAACTGCTTACAATTCTTTTTAACCCATAATTTAGCAAAAATTGTCAAAAAAATAGCAAGCCGAGTGAGAACCTTATTTTCCATTCTTCTCAACTGAAAATAGAACAATTTTGTTGCGCGTGTGCTCATGTGTACGTTCTACTGCTTTGAGCGGGGGACTAAGAGCCATGGTTCTCGGTATAAAATTGTATGTTTAAATGTTAGTTGTCTACAAAATATTCAGTGATGACATCGGCCTGAGGAATAGAATATTTGGGAATAATTTCATCCGTCGGGGTAAACTGGACATGGATATCACAGAGATTCTGGAAAGCTGGTTAGGTTCTCCAGGATAAAAAATATCAAATTTTGAGACACTTGGACGGATCTGAGACACCTGAACGGTCGTAGGCATCTCGTTTTCGGCATGATTGCTCGGAGGAGCCTTGAAACGCCTAAGTGTTTCAAAAACAGTGGTCAATTTTCTTTCGGCGATACCACCTAATTTACTTAGGATTTTTTAATAAAATATCTATACCTAAATCAAACAACTTTCTCATGTAGAGAATGATACACATTGCTTAGAAACAAATGCTTCCGTATTGTTGTGTTCTTCCTGATGTGTGTCAGAGCTGCGCAAGTGGTTAGTATCAAGGCCAGCGAACACCAGCAGCGTACTGCTAGCAGCCACACGAACGTCTGCAGCCACACGAACGCCTGCAGCCACATGAACGCCTGCAGCCACATGAACGACTGCAGCCACATGAACGAGAACGTCTGCAGCCACATGAACGTCTGCAGCCACATGAACGTCTGCAGCCACATGAACGTCTGCAGCCACATGAACGTCTGCAGCCACATGAACGCCTGCAGCCACATGAACGCCTGACTACCCAACCAAAGGCCTTACATGACACCACATTGTTTCTTCATGATATAAGCCACCTATCAGTAAACACACACACAAAGTCACAGTAACAGTATCACGAAATACGGTAATACAAAATACAGTAACAGTATTTACCAGTAACACAAAATACGGCTCACCTAGACGACTGTCAGGTAATCCCGTGTAAGCGAGGCACCAGTACGCAAGTCGGGATTGACACAGCTACCACCACCAGCCTCGGTCCACATCAGCCCCGGTATACTTAGTCTCTACGGTCTGAATGCAAGTAGGGAATTTGCAGCCTACATACAACATAACATACAGGTTCCCCCTCCTGAACACCTGCTGGCGCTCTTCTAAAAATAAACGAGCTCACTTGTTAACCTGTACTGATTCACTCGATATTTCTTTGTTCCATCGGCTGAAACAACAATAATGAATTACAATAATATTATATTATTTACTATATATTTTTTTGTACAACAGAATTCCCAGTTTTAACAAACTACAATGAAAGCAATGTCAATAAGAACAATGATGGGGCTTAATCATTTGAGGCTGTCAATAATTCAACGATAATATAAAATGTTCTCTGTACGCATCTCCTTTGAATTGTTGCTGTTCACCTGCCCCTCCTTCGTTTCCATTTTTGTTCATTTGTCCTTCCTTGCCACTTGGTCTACTTGAGACGCTAACGCTGCTCCTCTCTTGCCAGCTACAGGGGGCCGGTCTTTTAAGACCTAGAGTGGGCGAGGAGTGATTCCAGAAACTTTCAATAATTGAGACCTTCTGCCTTGCCGGTGAAGTTTATTCGCTACTTTAAGGCGAAATATTATAATAGGTAAAGTGATTGTAGACCGGCCTACTACTATCACTACTTCTGCTACTAATACTACTAATACAACTCTTACTAATACAACTCCCATTACTATACTACTACTACTACTACTACTACTACTTCTACTACTACTACTACTATTACTACTACTACTACTACTACTACTACTACTACTACTACTACTACTATCACTACTGCTATTACCACTATACTGCTACTACTACTATCACTACTGCTATTACTACTACTGCTACTAACAGTACAACAACTGCTACTACAAATAGAACAGGTAAAGCCTGTTGCTGCTCAACCTTCAATATGCAGGTGGACTAGCTTGGTTAAAGCAATTTTTATTTGGAATGTTTATCGCTGAACACTTGCGGGTATTGTGGTCGCTGGCTAACTCGTGTAAATCGACCAGTTACTGCTTGAATGCTGTCGGAGAAACAGTTGAAAAGTATCACTCTTACGGTAAGTTAACTTGCTGCACTTAAAACTACAGAGTTCTGCCCGATAAATTTGTTTAATATAAGTAAATAAAAGGTTATGAAATGAAATACTTGTACATTTTTTAATGAATTCAACAATGCTATTTCACTAAACTCGTGTAGCACAAAATTGGGAAAATGACGGCAGTGTTCGAGAGTTCGACTGCCGTGAGTGCTGGTGGCTGTCTTCCGGTCCACGGGGCTGACGATGCACAGGTCGTTTGGTTCTATTTGTTATTTTACGCCACGCAGTTCTGGCTAAATATTTAATAATAACTTTATCAATTAAATTTTTTTAGCTTGTAAGAGTAAAATACTGAATTACTATAAAAACGAGCTCTACTGTAGCAATAATTGATTTACCGCCCACCGTCTCCGATTGCCGCAAAACGCGGTGTCTGAGACCAAATGAATGAACATAAAATATACGTAATAAGGAATTGTGATACAATTACTCTAGAACGTCAATGTTTCGTTAGAAATATTAAAGATAAAGCGAAAGTAGTAGCAACAGCCACAAGCCAAATATATAAGAAATAATTCCGATTATTTCTGATATAGGTATACGGCTTGCGGCCATATAATACTATGGCCTCAATTTAGCCTTATTTCCCTGATTCACAAGACTAATCCCTTCCGATTCAAAAGACTGAGACTACAATTGCTTTATCATCGAGTTCTTAATCACTTATGATATTTTACAATAATAATTTTGCTCTTAAACGATTTTGTAACGCGGTCACTAATTTGTCGGTTCTGGCAATGGAGGTATTCACCCTGCTGATTACTGCTATTTGTATGTCTGTATCTATACCGTATGTCTGTACCTATACTGTTTTGTATCTGTACTGTATTTTCTATATAAATGATTATCTTCATTCAAATATTCATAAAAAAATTTTCACTGGCGGCAATGTACGATTGCATAGAATAAAGCCTTTTATTTTATTTCCCCACAGGAGATTCCTCTTGTGAGTTTCGCACCCTGAACTCAAACTTTAATCCTCTTCTGCCGCCCCGAACGGTCAAGCCCAAACCATGGAAGCCCCGCGAGCCGCTGCCGTCTTCCTTGTGAGTGGTGCGGCGTAGATGACATTACATGTCAAAATTGCATGTTGGTCTATTTGATTCCTAGGTATAAATGCTTCTTCAGCATGTATTCATTTCCATTAATTATTGTTGCTCACTTTCTGGGAACGCAATTAGTATCCATGCTACAAAGCCCCTGTAATAATTGTTAATGGCGCGTTCCTGTAATAATTAATAATGGTGTGTTCCTGTAATAATTATTAATGGTGTATTCCTGTAATAATTATTAATGAGAGTTCTTGTAATAATTGATCATATAACCCACGACGCTGTTCTTGTCCATGAGCAGGAACTGACAGCTAATTTTAACCCAGGAAATTTATATTTAACCTTATTTTTTAGGCCATCGCCGTGTTGACGTCTGCCGTGCAAGATGCCAGAGCTGGCAGCTACTCGCAGAAGGTACATTTACTAAGAAATATGATTTAAGACTTTTATTCTTAACATTATGTTTGGTTGCAACAATCTTTATGGGCAGACGGCTTGTAGTGCGAAGACATTCAGGTGACTTCAATGCACTTGACGGCTGATCCTCGTATCATTGCAATGCTGTCAAATGAACTTGAATCTCTCGCACATTTATTTACGTACATTTTCCTCGATACGTACGTAAACTGCTGGATGTCTTAGTCAAGTTCGTAATGATACTTCCCTTGTTTCTGTGCCGTCAATGTCTCAGTACAAAGAACTGTTCAGTCTTCGAACTTAGAACTCTTCTATTTCCGCAGTTCGTTGTTGACGGAGGCGTGAAGAGCAGTTTGTTCCATGAGTGCATTACCCTCGCCAATACGGTGGAGGGAGAAATTTTCTCCATACCATTTAACCGCGGCGTCGAATACCAGAGATTTGCCCCCAAGAAGTTGCTGGCTGTGGACTGGATGCGCTTGAACGGCGCATCGGACATCCTGGCTTGCGCGGATGCGGCCTATGCAAAGAGTAAGTGAAAATCAAGAAGAACTCATTCAATGATATAATTTTTTATGACCTATCGTTGATTTTTTATTGGTGGAATCAAGAAAATTAGGATTATAACTGATATATCGACGTTGCAGCTGCTGAAGCTTTACTGCAGGTGAGGTCAGTTGAGTAGAGTCGATTCCATGACCCTAAGAACTTTCTTAGACCAGCGTATAAGTAGCTTAAGTGATCCTCGGTAGCCTGGGCTCGAACAATGAACGTGCTTTAACTGCTGGATTCTAATTTCACAGGAAAAGGGTACTGTGGGCCAAGTTTTTTGCAAACTCGCCAATTGCAAAGATCTGATAGATGCGAAAAAACAGTTTCAATTTCGTAGGCATTTGTGTGTATTTAAAGGTATTATAACCAATCACGTCAGCCCTTCATTATTAACAGTTTTTGAACTATCGATAGCCAGAATCAACAAATTACATTTTATACTTGCATATATGTACATTAATTCAATACAGCACTGATGCTCGATTGAAAATGTCGATGTTTGAAATCCGTCGCTTCTTACGGCATTCACTCAAGGTCTGATTGCTATACCATGTTTGTCCTTACCTCCATCAGACGGTTAGGTTACAAGTCGGCATTTTCGAGACACTGATTTCGTATCTTGCGGAAACCAAGCTATCATACAATTAGCCCTATTAAACTTAAATGGCATAAAACTGTGTGTAATAAACTCCAAAGACTCCCAGCATCGATAAAACTTTGGTTGCTGCTTCACTCCAGCGTTAAATGTTGACCAAACAAAAATGAATTTAAAAAAAAAATTCAAAAAAAAAAATTTAAATTTCGACCAAACAAAATTTAGGGCCTGCACAATTACCAAGAGTCGAAACGGCAGAAAAGAAACGATGTTCAATATTTATGCAGTGTTTGCTAATGTTTCCTCCAGCCATTCAGAGCCATAAATTTTATCAAACGAAAAAATTGTTTGCAGTATCATTCAAGTTTCCGTAATACCAATTAATTGAATGTTGCGAAAAAATCAGCCCCTTTTTCAGAGAATATTTTTTTGCATATAAGAACGAGTTTACTCTCAACTACGTTCAAAAATCAATAAGGGATCAATTCATCAACGTCGAATCTCGATTTCACAAACATTAGATAATTATTGTGTCTTTACGAGTCATTTCTTGAGTTATTGAGTCTTTACTAGTCATTTGTTGAGTTATAGTGTCTTTACGAGTCATTTGTTGAGTTATAGTGTCTTTACGAGTCATTTGTTGAGTTATTGTGTCTTTACGAGTCATTTCTTCAGTTTTTGCTACGTATTTCTTATGAAAGCTTCAAATTTTCTGTTGTCTCTCAGGGAGAAGCGCAGTGAGTCAATAAGCGCTACACGCGCTGTCATCATGACAGCGAAAACATCTCATCTCATGTAGTCTTAATATTTCTTAATTTAGCAAATCTGAAATTTAATTATTTATTTTATTCACAGGCGCTCTCATGTTCAAGTTTGACGGCGCCTGCTACGCCAGCGGCAAGACTGCGTACGACGTAAATAACGACGAGCAGGACAGCGGTGACGCACCTGCTGAAGTTGTTTACGTCAGGACGCCTCGTAAGTTGTTTACGTCATGACGCCTCGTAAGTTGTTTACGTCATGACGCCTCGTAAGTTTTTTACGTCATGACGCCTCGTAAGTTGTTTACGTCATGACGCCTTGTAAGTTGTTTACGTCATGACGCCTTGTAAGTTGTTTACGTCATGACGCCTAGACGCCTCGTAAGTTGTTTACGTCATGACGCCTCGTAAGTTGTTTACGTCAAGACGCCTCGTAAGTTGTTTACGTCATGACGCCTTGTAAGTTGTTTACGTCATGCCGCCTTGTAATTGTCAACATTATTTCTTCGAAATTAATTAACAGATATTATAACTCCGTTTGTCTATTGATCAACATTATTCATTTTCCATTATTCTCTTCGACTTGATATCATAAACCTTTCGTTGTCACTTCTTTACCCTCCTGCGAGTAATTCATCTCACCTTCTGTATTTCCAGTCACGGGGGAAATAGTGCATGTAATACAGCTGTTCATTTCACCGTCTGTGTTTCCAGTCACGGGAGAAATATTTCATGTAAAACAGCTGTTCATCTCACTGTCCTGTTCATCTCACCGTCTGTGCTTCCAGTCGTGAGGGAAATAGTGCATGTAATACAGCTGTTCATTTCACTCTCTGTGTTTCCAGTCGTGGGGGAAATACCGGTAGTGCACGAAATACAGCTGTTCATCTCACCGTCTGTGTTTCCAGTCGTGGGGGAAATAGTGCATGTAATAATATTTCCAGTCACGGGGGAAATAGTGCCTGTAATACAGCTGTTCATCTCACCGTCTGTATTTCCAGTCACGGGGGGAAATAGTGCATGTAATACGGCAGTTCATCGCACCTTCTTTATTTCCAGTCACGGGGGAAATAGTGCCTGTAATACAGCTGTTCATTTCACCGTCTGTGTTTCCAGTCGCGGGGTAAATAGTGCATGTAATACAGCTGTTCATTTCATCGTCTATGTTCCCAGTCGTATGGGAAATAGTGTATGTAATACCGCTGTTCATCTCACCGTCTGTGTTTCCAGTCGTGGGGGAAATAGTGCATGTAATACAGCTGTTAATTTCACCGTCTGTGTTTCCAGTCGTGGGAGAAATAGTGCATGTAATCATGTAATACAGCAGTTGATTTCACCGTCTGTGTTTCCAGTCGTGGGGGAAATAGTGCATGCAGTACAGCTGTTCATTTCACCGTCTGTTTTTCCAGTCGTGGGGGAAATAGTACATGTAATACAGCTGTTCATCTCACCGTCTGTGTTTCCAGTCACGGGGAAAATAGTGCATGTAAGCATGTAATACAGCAGTTGATCTCACCGTCTGTATTTCCAATCACGGGGGAAATAGTACATGTAATACAGCTGTTAATTTCACAGTCTGTGTTTCCAGTCGTGGGGGAAATAGTGCATGTAATACAGCTGTTAATTTCACCGTCTGTGTTTCCAGTCGTGGGGGAAATAGTGCATGTAATACAGCTGTTAATTTCACCGTCTGTGTTTCCAGTCGTGGGGGAAATAGTTCATGTAATACAGCTGTTAATTTCACAGTCTGTGTTTCCAGTCGCGGGGGAAATAGTGCATGTAATACAGCAGTTCATCTCACCGTCTGTGTTTCCAGTCGTGGGGGAAATAGTGCATGTAATACAGCTGTTAATTTCACAGTCTGTGTTTCCAGTCACGGGGGAAATAGTACATGTAATACAGCAGTTGATCTCACCGTCTGTATTTGCAGTCGTGGGGGGGCTCTTGTACAACAACACATTCGTCCCCGACGGCCAACCCATCACCGCTGACGGCTGCTTACTCAGTAACTCATCGGGCATCGTAATGAACGGTCAGTGAATCAGTTAATGTATGAGTGTATCAGTGAATGTATCAGTGAATGTATCAGTGAATGTATCAGTGAATGTATCAGTGAATGTATCAGTGAATGTATCAGTGAATGTATCAGTGAATCAGTGAATGTATCAGTAAATCATTGAATGTATCAGAATGAGTCAGTGAATCAGTACATGTATCAGTGAACCAGTGAATAAATCAGGGAATTGGTGAATTTACCAGTGAAAGTATCATTAAAATTTTTTGATCTCCTAATCTTCTCTAGCGATAATTTGTTCATATAGTTGAAGAAACGAACAAAACATTTTGTTTGCCTCAACTAATTAACTCCATGAACAATTTATTCCTAAGTAAGACGTTATTAGAATTAAGAATTCATTATGAAAATTAAAGAACAATGTGTATAACTGAATATCTTACTCGGTAGGCCTCTCCTACACATAGCAGCTCAAGGGCACGTAGCGGTCTAACTAGCTAGACTGAACTACTGAGTAACTATACTCAACTATTAATATTATAAGTTACTCGTAACTAATGATGAACGATATCCTAATTTTGCAGACAACTTCAAAACCCCGTACAATGCGAGCCTGATGCCTGCTAAACTGACGTGCTGCAAAGGAAAGATCGCTGGCCACTGCGTCGACTTCTACGAACGCTCCTACAAATTTGCCTACTGTGAGGCCGTGTTGGGGTGCCAGGCCCTAGGCCTAGAGCTGGCCTCGTACGAACTCTACAACTACACTGAGATCCAGCAGTTCATCAAAACTTTATTGGCACCGCCAGGTGATGTTTACTTATTATAATTATTATACTATTTTATTATTATTATTATTATTATTATTATTATTATTATTAATATTATTATTATTATTATTATTATTATTTACCATAAGACAATAGAGTGTTGCCAGCTTTAATTAAACCATGCTGGCTTGTAGCCGAATCCTATTATTATTAATATTATTATTATTATTATTATTATTATTATTATTATTATTATTATTATTATATACCATAAGACAATAGAGTGTTGCCAGCTTTAATTAAACCATGCTGGCTTGTAGCCGAATCCTAATAACCCGGCGGCCACAATGCCGAATTCGACAACAAGTTGTGAGACTCGAACCCCCAACTCGCTGCCCCAATCTTGTTTATCTTTGTTTCTTGGCGGTCTTAACTGATTGTTAGAAATTTAATTAGTACATTTTTAATGCATTTCAATGTGTTTACATGTTCAAATATATTTAGAAATGAAGAAATGTCTAAATTTAAGAGCATTTCAGGAGTTTAAGTTTAACTAGATGCTCGTTTAGCTAATTTTATCTGCTATTATTTAAGGCATATCGCGTTAAAAATATTAATGTTTCAGACCGTTATTTCTAGACTTTAAAGGACGTAGAGTGAACATTGATCTAATATTGTCTCATTCGGATTTGGTGAATGTTTTTAATCTAAATGAATGTTAATAAAGTACAAACATCAGCAAAATATTCAGCAAGAACAATTGAATTTTATTCATTCCCACTATTCAGTATCCGATTACATAATCCCTTCTCAGCTCCATTCATTTAAAGTAGAATCTTTTAAAAACAGGCTTATGCAAATTCAAACGCTACATAACACTAATAAAGTATATTTGTACTTCAAAAACATACGAAAGCATTTTAGTCGTTAATATAGTTCAATTTAGTACCATTCAATTTATCACTAACAGTACGAATCGTATTCACATTCAAATCAGTAAACATTACAATTTTGTTAATATTCCCTGCCACAACTTTTTGCAGCTTCCTTATGGAGTTGGATTAACGTGAAGCGAGGAGACGACGGAGTGTTCCGTTTTGTGCCGGGGGGACAAGAGAACAAGTTTCCTTTCAAACCTTACACGACCATGGCATACAACTGCACCGAGTATCAGTCCAACTACGCCTACCTTTTCACATCGGACTGCGGGGCAAAATACGAAAGTAGGGCCATCTGCATCGGTCCTAACAGTGCCCTGCCAAAATGTCTAATTTTAGAATGAAGAAAGAACAGCTCACTCCTAGAAATAGGCGGGACTTTGTCCAAATAACAATGTACTTTTTTTGTCCCCTTGTTGGTCCTTCTGACCCACAAAAATCGCGGCAAAAGAGGGAATCAGCGTTACGGCTGCTCTCTGCCCGTGTAGGCAGTTAGGAAGTGTGTCATTATTTGGACAATGAGACATTATCTTTTCTGAGTGAGTGGCATGTGTTAGTCTGGAATTGCGCACGAATTTTATCTGAAAAAATTTTGTTTCTTCATCACAATTTTATTAATCTTATTTGTTATTTTTCGCTTTCTGATTCTCTTCTACATCCAAATCTATAAAGCCTTTGAATCAATAAAGACCTTCAGTGATTATATTTTTTTATCCATCCCCTCACAACTTCAATGGCCCCACCAATGCGATGTAAGAATAATATAATCAGCTAATAATAATAATAGTTATATATAATAATTACTGTCAGATGAATTAGTTATTAACACCTCAATAATAATCAGGCCCACAAGTGCATATACTCGAAAATGTCGGCGTAACCAGCAATTCGGTAACGAAAGATAACAATTTGGTATTTTAAACCAATATAAACAGTGATTTGTTATTCGCATTGCCTCAATTGATTCGTTGTCACCTAAGCGTCTCTAAACTTTTCCTCTGATCCACGAGTCAGTCTGAGACGCACAATTTTATATTGTGAGCTAAATAACTGAGCTGGAAATGTTATTGAAAAACAAAGAGGATGAATCTAATTTACCATGACTACCAGAAAAATATTAGAGCCTCATTAATAGGTAATGCGTCTGCTTCTAGAACGTTTGGTTGATAAGGATATTTGGCAATCTAGTTCTGAATGAAGAACTTAGTTCTTGTTCTGTCAGGTTGAGAACTTAGACAGAACTGACGTTTTAAAGTGCCCTCTGATGAAATAAAGTTTACAATTTCAAATGACAAATTTTGGATATATTGGACATCGATTCTTACCTTGACAACTGCAACTGCTTACCTTGGGTGGCGTCAGCCACTGCAACATGAACACCCCAACAGAGGGTAGCGTCAGCAACTGTAACATGAACACCCCAACAGAGGGTGACGTCAGCCACTGCAACATGAACACCCCAACAGAGGATGGCGTCAGCCACTGCAACATGAACACTCCAACAGAGGGTTGCGTCAGCCATTGCAACATGAACACCCCAACAGAGGGTTGCGTCAGCCACTGCAACATGAACACCTCAACAGAGGGTTGCGTCAGCCACTGCAACATGAACACCCCAACAGAAGGTTGCGTCAGCCACTGCAACATGAACACCCGAACATATGTGAGACACCGTCTGCGTACCACATGCGTGTTCGCACATGCCGATTCCCTGGACGTTATCTCAGCGAGATATTGATAAAGAGAGATGATCACTTCAAGAACATCGCTCAGATCTTCACATGACAAGGACCGAGATACCGAGTGTTTATAACGCGCTGGCGGCTACACACTTGCGGTACAAGCGGGCCGTAGGTTGCAGGGCTGGCAGTGGCAGCTGGTGGATGTAGTGTCGGCGGCTGATGGCATCCAGCAGGTGGTGTATGAAAAGGTAGTGGCATGTGGCTGTGATGAATTTCTGTGGCATCTGGCTAGGCAGGTGGAGCGCTTTTGATTGATATTATGACAGGTGAAGAGCGTTAGATTGTCAGGTGGTTGTGACTGCAGCTGGTGCATGGTGCACTTTTGGCTCACGTGCTCAGTGGTACATCGCTAGTTGTCGGTCAGGCTGTGGTCTTTTTATGGTGCAAGGAGCATCTCAAAATTGCCCGAGTGACTGTAGCAAGTGGGGTTGAAAGTGCATTTCTGGTTGCTATGGTGGTAGGACAATAATGGTAGTATATGGTAGTAACTTTTGGTTACTTGGGTGGTTATTAGTGTCTGTAGTTGAGGTGCATTTATAGTTCCAGTGATAGGTGATGAATTTCTGATGGCTGATGCGCTTGTGATGGGACTAATGGTCCAACGTGTAACGGGTGTGGGACGGAAGGTCCAACGTGTAGCGGGTGTGGGACAGATGGTCCAACGTGTTGTGGGTGTGGGACGGAAGGTCCAACATGTGACGGGTGTGGGACGGAAGGTCCAACGTGTAGCGGGTGTGGGACAGATGGTCCAACGTGTAGTGGGTGTGGGACGGAAGGTCCTACTACATCTTGTGCGATGTATGGACGTGGGGCACTTCGAGCTGCTGCATTGTCACGCGTCAGACGATGGCGAGACTCTAAGTTGCGGATGTTGATTTGTTGATACAAAGCCCAAAGTGAACGAACTCACGCAATGAGAAATCAATAATCAAGAGTTTATTTGTTTCAAACTTTGTTTGCAAGTTCACACTCTGGCGGCGAGAAGTCGATATTCCATATTTTATAATATTTCAAACCTTATTTACAAGTTCATACATATGCGCGGGAATTCACTGATTCAACAGGTTGACTATATAGAAGCTCATTAACCTTCACTAAAATAGTCTCATAGGTACAGGTGTTAGAGAAAATTAGAGAAACACCTTAGAAATCCAAAAAATATATTTTAGTAAATAACAAATTTACTCCCCTACAAATTTACTAATAACAAATTTATTTCGAACCTTTAGCCCTACCGGGTCCACCTATAGCGGCAATTGCAGCCTCAATTCTCCGAGGTATTGTTTCATGTAAATTATGAATTATTTACGTAATTTTAACCCATTCTTCAGTTAAAACTCCCTCCAGCTCTTTTAAAGACGATGGCGGCGTTAATCGACTTCTAAATTGCATTTCTAAAATTGACCGTAAATGCTCGATAATATTCTAGTCTGGTGATTGTGGGGGCCAAATGCGTTCAACTTCTTTACAATGTTCCTCGTGTCATTTTTAGCTCATTTTCTCATTTATGGAAAAAAGGCGCTATTGTGCTTGTCATGTCCGTCCGTCCGTCCGTCTGTCTGTCCGTCTGTCTGTCCGTCTGTCTGTCCGTCTGTCTGTCCGTCTGTCTGTCCGTCCGTGACTTCATGTTTTCGTCGACGAGAAAATGCGCTCTCTGTCACTCACTGCAGTGAGTACTGAGTTCTATTTTTTAACAATTCCAGCTGTAGGGATCGGGGCATTATCGTCTTGCAAGATTGCTTTCCCTTCCGGAAACAGTGCTTGAACCATTAGATGAACTTGGTTGTTCAAAATTCCTAAATATTCACGACCATACATTTTACAATGAAGGGAAATCATTGGCCCTATTTCCAAAAAATATCTCCTCTGATCATCCCCCGCCATGTTTTACGGTTGAGAGGAGCCTGTTGGGATTAAGTGACTTTTTTGGCCGTCTCCAAACGTAAACTCGGCCAGAGGTTGGAAATAAGGCACACGATGATTCAATAAGGCGCACGATGATTCGTCAGAGAAAATCACATTTCAACTGCTTGCGGGATAAATTCTGGAGGTTTTTATACCAATATAAATGCTCTAAAGCATTTGTATTTGAAACCAGAGATTTTTTAATTGCAGCTCTTCCAGATCTGCGCAGCTCTCGGCGGACAGTCTTTATGGAAACTGGGTTCTGTAGGGGTCCATTGAGTCAGCAGTAATTTTAACAGCCGTGTTTTTTCGATTGTCCCTCACAATTCAATTTAGGTACCGACGGTCTCTCACAGATAATTTCGACTTTCAGCCAGACCTGTGCTCTACTGAGGACGTTTTTAATTCTCTTTCAAAAGCGGTCATTACTTCTGAAAGAGTACCTCTAGAAACGTCAAGCTTTGGAGAAGTTTCTGACACAAGCACCTGCCATACGGGCACCACCAATTTGGCCTCTTTGAAAGTCAGAGATGTTTGCCATTTATAAATTATAGTATAGATTAGGTTATCGACACAAATATTTACAAAAAATATCTTTGCAAGGACAAAATATCAATTAGCAGCAACAATAAACAATAGAATATAAAAACATGTCCCGTTGTCATTGTTAATAACATGTTTAAAAATTACGATGTCAGGTTGTTTTTTTCCAAAGAAGCAAAATGTCAGGTGTTTTCCCTTATTTTGTCCACCCCATGGACGTAGCTTTTGCTATGTTTTGATGACTAATCTTCCACACAGACACCACATTAATTATTTCATTTTGGAGGTAAACTCAAAATTTCCTCGCGATTCAACAATCTTTTCTATGCAAATCACGGCAAAGGTCAACTATAATACACCATGGCAAATTTTCAGGAATACTTTACTCGGTAATCCTGATTGGATTTCAACCTAAATTTATTATGCAAACTACTATACATTCTAATTCCAACGTTAATTCATTATCTTAAAAAATTTACCTCTTACTAAGGCTGGGAACAATAGAGTCTTATTTTTATTTTAAAAATTATAATTTGCCTCAAGTACACTTTAAAATGCGGTGCTTTTCAAGAAGTCTCAAGAAATTTCCGTTTTTGGTTTGCGCGGTTCTCTGCTTAATGTCATCTCCAGCTTCCGGGGGTAACTATTTAATTTTGTCGCCCTTCGGATCGCGTTCAGTGCGCGGTGTGTTCAACACGTTGAGCGAAGGCCTCCTCAGTAAAGGCCATAACGTGACGTTCGTTTCTTCTGGAGAACCAGTGACTCACCACGAGAACATGACCCATGTTACGTCACCACACACTGCTTTGGACGAGCTCGACCTGTTCAAAGTCAGGTTCGGGCTGTCGGTGTTCAAAATCTGGAAGAGAGCGTTTCCAGAAGCAGCTAAAATGATGTACGAAATGAAGGAAATTATAGCGCTGTGGAACGACCGCCATCGGTTCGACGCCATCATCATCAACAGCGCTGCTAACGAGATGGCACTTCCGTTCCTATTGAACGTGTCAGCTCCGTTCATCACGCTGCAGCCAGCTGGCTTGGACCCATTACAGCTGGCTTACCTAGGTAAGTCTTCAGGGGTAAATGAATCATTCTTGAGTCTAAATGGATATTAGTTTTAGTATTTTTGCCTAAAAATACCTCAATTTTTTTTTATCGGCTTGTCTTGTTCGACTCACGAATAAGCTCCACGCTTATAAACGCCATATCCTATACATACATTTATGGTATGTATGTTTTTATATATATTACATTCATACATACATTTTAGGTAAATATTCTTGTACGTACCTAAAATTTATTTATTCGTACATAAGTATTAAAACAAATATAACTCCTCGGTATAAAAAGTAATTTTATCGCATAAAATCCAGGACTCGTGCTTTTCAAGAAAAAATATGTTCAGTTACACTATAAATATAAGTATCTCCATTCATCAGCCTATAACTGCACCCGACGCATCCAACTGCCGCAATACCTTTAACGCAGTTACTGTTTAAAATCTCTCGTCCAACCTACCTTGCAGGGAACCTGGTGTCTCCTGCGACGCTGCCGTCCATAATCCTGCCGTACGACAACAACATGTCGCTGTGGGAGCGTCTGGTCAACACACTCACTCTTGTCGTACTCAAGTATTCCTTCCACCGCTCAGTGGGCACCCCGCTTAAGAATGCTCTCATGTCCAAGTTCCCTGACCTGCCAGACGCGCGGTAGGTTCTCAATACGCTTCTTTGTGACAGAAAAACTGTTTTCCTCACCAGAGCTTTAATCTCAATATACTTTCCCTAGTAAAATGATAAAATATCAACATCATCAACATGTTTAATTTCGCTACACAGGTCCGTCTACCCGACGCAGTCCCTCTCGCTATTTAACAGTCACCCCCTCATCGACGGTGCAGTGCCGCTGCTGCCGCTGCAGGTGGAGGTTGGCTGCATGTCGTGCCGCCCTGCCAGGCCTATAGAACATCAGCAGGTCGGTCAATCATGCCCCGTTAAATTAAACAAAATTAATTTAATATTTTGATATGTTGACACAAGAAAAACTCTGGCGAGCGCAGCAGAAGTGAATTTTTTATAATAGAAACAAATGCAATCAAATCGGATGGATCTAAAGATAAATCAGTGTTATAAACAAAGACGTTCAAATCAAACTAGATACAAAAATGATTGCTAAGGAAAAATATCTAGCAAACTCCTGGCAAGAGGAAATAAAGGAAAATAATCGCATTCGGAGAGGAAAGTGTGCTGGGGGGGTGTCCATCTGGAATGTTGTCAGCTCTTTCCAACACACGCAATTAAGGTTCAAAATTATTCTTGCTTACCATACCTCATTTTTCATTTAAACTAAAATTTATGTGAAAGGGTCCCCGGATTTCACTCCGAACATTCTATTTACTCTCGAATACAATCATAATTTAATGACGTAGATTCAAACCTATTACAATTCTAATCATTTTTATCATAATTACTAATCATATTTACATCACAATAAACTTATTTAAAAGACCAGCGCTCAACTCCCGGCAGATGAGAACGTTTCTCTCGCCCAGCGACCCTCGTCCTGTGATACTCTTCAGCCTCGGATCCTTCCAGCAGCCAGGGAGGTGTGAACCCCCGAGTCAGCTGAACTTCTGACCCTCCACTGACTGTAAACCCTCTACTGACTGCCCTCCAACCCTCCACTGACTGCCCTCCAACCCTCCACTGACTGCCCTCCAACCCTCCACTGACTGCCCTCCAACCCTCCACTGACTGCCCTCCAGCCCTCTACTGACTGCCCTCCAACCCTCCGCTGAGTGCCCTCCAACCCTCCACTGACTGCCCTCCAACCCTCCACTGACTGCCCTCCAATCCTCCACTGACTGCACTCCAACCCTCCACTGACTGCACTCCAACCCTCCACTGACTGCACTCCAACCCTCCACTGACTGCACTCCAACCCTCCACTGACTGCCCTCCAACCCTCCCCTGACCGCCCTCCAACCCTCCACTGACTGCCCTCCAACCCTCCACTGACTACCTTCCAACCCTCCACTGACTGACCTCCAACCCTCCATTGACTGCCCTCCAACCCTCCCCTAATTACCCTCCAAACATTAAATGTTAAGAACATCATCGTTTCAACGCTATTTATTCCTGAAGCATATAACGGTTTTTTCAAAGTATGAACTGCGATTTGTGCTATATTGGAACAAATTCCTCATTCTTCCTCAAGACAGGATAATATAGAGCAAGCAGTGGATATATATAAAAAAATCGGATTCTGTGAACGAAAATATACCAAAAAATTTCAAAGATCTTTAATTTATAATAGTTAGATTATTCCGAATAAAGTGTATAATATATACAATATAATAGAGTATATAAAAAATACAACTACAAAATTTCATACAACCAAATCACCCCAATTTTTCATGCAACCTTGGTTCACTCAACCGTTCAGGATCCCCGAGCGGTTCGTGGCGGTTCTGTACGCAGGGTTCGCCGCCCTCCCCCACCTGCGGTTCATTGCTAAGCTCCCCCCGCCCCCCACCGGCCCCCTCCCCCCCAACGTCTACTTTTCAGACTGGGTTCCTCAGCAAGACGTGCTAGGTGAGACGGGGAGGTGTACAATAGTACAATACTAGTACTTTAGTACAATACTGGTGCTTTAGTACAATACCGATGCTTTAGTGCAATACTGATGCTTTAGTACAATACTTGTACTTTAGTACAATACTAGTACTTTGGTACAATATCTGTCTCTTATACACATCTAGATGTGTATAAGAGACAGCCCTCCAGCCCTCCTCTGACTGCCCTCCAACCCTCCACTGACTGCCCTCCAAACCTCCACTCACTGTCCTCCAACCCTCCTCTGACTGCCCTCCGACCCTCCACTGACTGCCCTCCGACCCTCCACTGACTGCCCTCCAACCCTCCACTGACTGCCCACCAACCCTCCACTAACTGCCCTCCAACCCTCCACTGACTGAAGCATATAGCGGTTTTTATATATATTATAATATTCCTGAAGCATATAACGTTTTTTCAAAGTATGACCGGCTATTTATGCTATATTGCAACAAATTCCTCATTCTCCCTGAAGCCAGGACAATTTAGAACAAGCATAGGATATATTTGAAGAAATCGGATTCAGTGAACGAAAATATACCAAAAAATTTCAAAGATCTTTAATTTATAATAGTTAGATTTTTCCGAACAGATTGCATGATAAATATAATATAACAGAGTAAATAATAAAAGAAACCATAATAATTCATACAACCAATGCACCCAATCTTTTCATGCCACCTTGGTTCACCCAACCGTCCAGGATCCCCGAGCGGTTCGTGGCGGTTCTGTACGCAGGGTTCGCCGCCCTCCCCCACCTGCGGATAGTACAATACTGATGCTTTAGTACAATACTGATGCTTTAGTACAATACTGATGCTATAGTACAATACTGTTACTTTGGTACAATACTAATACTTTAGTTCAATATTGTACTGCAATACAGTTCGGGCTGTGTACAGCAGTACAATACTACAGCACTATTACTGTAGCATTGTACTACAATACAGCATGGACTGTGTACAGCAGTACAATACTACAGCACTATCACTGTAGCATTGTACTACAATACAGTATAGGCTGTGTACAGCAGTACAGTACTACAGCACTATTACTGTCTGGGGGATAAAGTATAAGGAGCTGAGTAGCTTATGGGTGACGATGGGTGACTTGGTGATTGTGATGAGTGTTTAGTTCTGCCTCTATTACCTGATAAATATTAATCAATTATTGAATATGCAATCTTAAAAATATCAATTTCTTCTCCTACGACCTCCTATTTCTTCTCATGCGATCTCCTTTATTAATTATCATATAACCTTGAAATCACGCGTGCCTTCACCTTGATATTAAAATTCACTTTTACCCCGAATTGCAAACATATAGCAGTGATCCAGCAACAACAACAATGCTATATGACCAGAAATATTTGGTATAATATAAGCTCGGTTAGTAGCGAGATAGCCGTTATCTCCGCCATTGAAGGGTCGTGTGACCTATCAATATATATGAGCATCTGTGATGGTTTATGCCTAGACGCAGTGTGCATAGTTATTATTCGTACCCTATTTGAATGATAAGGCCACTGAATGTTGGACCTTTCTCAGCTGTACGCAAATATAAGCAACGTTGTATGTGGTCCGCGTATCATAATTTGTTCTTCAACGCAGAAATTGTTCATTCAGGCAGACCTATTGACCCGAACCTTGCAGAATACGAGAATGCCGAATGCCCTATAATTATTGGGATACCCAGGCCTGCCACAATACCAAGTCACCTAATACTTTCTAGTCTAATACCTTTCTAGTCCGATTCTATGTCCCAAATCCCAAGTCATTCGGACTACCAATTCTGTATCCTTTAAACTCTGCCTGAACCTGCACTCGATCCAACCGACCTATTTATTATCCTACAAAATCAACAATATTTACACTCTATTCAGCCGACCTATTCATTATCCTCCAAAATCATCAATATTTACACTCTATTCAGCCTATTTATTCATTATCGTACAAAATCAATTAAAATCTGCCGTCTATAGGCCTAGAGGCGACGCGGCTGTTCATGAGCCACTGCGGGCGGCAGAGCATCAACCAAGCAATGTACCACGGCGTGCCCATCCTCGGTCTGCCCATCGCATTTGACCAGCCCAGACACTGCAGGAAACTCGAGCGTAAACGCTACGCCGTTGTCATGCAGTGGGAGGACATTACTGTGCCTTTATTGGTCCAGAAAATTAGCTATATGCTCAGCAACAGCACGTAAGATAACTCAAAAATGCGACGCCATTTATTATATGCCCAGTTATATCATACCATTAAGTTACCGCCAAAACATGGCACCATTTACTATACACCAAGCTATAACACATGAGTTACCCCAAAAATGCAATTATACTAACTATGTGTCCAAATTCACAGTGTAAGTTATCCTCAAAATGCGAAAGCATTAATCAACTAAATATTTAGCCAACCCAGTAAGTCGCCTCAGAAAAGTTGTATTTTAAACCATATGCCCAGCTATACAGCAAAGTTACCCCCAAAATACGTAAACTCTACCTACATGGTTAAATATTCTACGAAAGTCTCCCCTAAATGCCACTGTATTAACTTTCTGCTCAGTGACAACGCGTAAGTTTATGTTCATTGTTCAGTAGTTAACCGTCTGGCACCATAAAGTGCATAAGTTGTAATTACCACACAAGTAACCATCCAATTTACTTCACTTCGAATTGCGAAACTTTTAAGTAATCTGTAATACTATAAGTCCTGAAAACCTTCAATCATAGTTATTTATTTATCATTTATTATTTATAAAAAATTTCTCTTGCCAAGCGAGTCCAAAAGCTAATATTGTTTCTCCTGCAGATACAGCGAGCGTGTGCTGAGGGTGTCACGCAGCCTCAAGGCAGAGAAGGAAACAGGTAGGTTAATTCATTACGCTTTGAACTCAATTAAAAATATATGAAGAATAACTTTTACAATTGGAATCTATTATTCGTCATGCCTGTTTTTGTTAACTGGAATATTTTGAATTTCAAGCTTCATTCGAGTCCTAAGTATTTCGTCCCATAAATCACTGAAGGCTGTCACCTGAATGGAATCCATCAGATATTAATTATCAAATGAATCCCATATTGAGTCACTTAGTCAAAAACCTGCACTTAGGTTTATTTCTCACCATTGACGCGGAGAAAATGAATGAAATTATCTTATTTTACTAATCATTCTCATATCTAATAAACAAATTTTGGCGCCAAATAATATAATTCAAGTGTCAGACATTCAACAGTTAGTATCAACTTGTGCGAGATGCTGCTCTCGAGCGCTAAAGCAGCATAAAGCAACAAATTATTCAAACGACGAATGAATCCTTCTTGGACCTTCAATGTCCAGCGACGAAGTTAAGCCCAACCATGAACTTAACAGGAAAATAATCAGTATCATTGTATTAACTCCTCTCCATGATCATTTAAAGTTTTACTGAAATAAAAATGTATTGAATTAATCAAATCAAACGAATCGAAGTCGCAAATCGAACGTCATAGTTAGGATTACCAAAATAGGCCGTGCCTTTCTGCTAGAACCAAGGACAGAAGGAACAACTGGTAGATGATGGCCATATGTGGGTTACTCACATATTGAACGTTTGTTACCTACTGACCCAGGCTATCCACAATCCCTACGCACCGACCACTACCTTACATACAAGTGATACAACCTAACTTTATAACCTCACAATATGAAGCGATAAAAGATAACATCCAGCCGTGGCGACTCCTTACTGCTGGGTATTTTTTTTAGCCTCACTGGAGCCAGAGCCCGCATCGACCGGGCCTGCGGGTTTGGCCGATGTATGATTATTGCCTATGTTGCTTGTTTACTTTAATCTTACAGAATTTAGATTACTAGAGTTACTCCAATTGTTCCACGTTCAAATTAATCGTATAAAACTGGATAACTAGAAATGCTCATTTGCTCTGGGATGAATTGAATCGTGCAGAAATAGGATAATAACTCAAGGCGCTCAGTTTTTCCACCTATACGTTCATAAGCGAGCTTCGTATATCACTAAGAAAACTTTCCACTGTTCGTCACAGAAGAAATGAATTTCCAAAGTACGCGCTGAAATACGAATTATGATAGCAATAGTTAGGCATGCAGCATTGCAATCAATTTTAAATAGCATTTTTTATGAGCACGAATTTATTGACTTGGAAGTTTAGATAACTCCGTATGTATTTGCTTCTTTATTTTCTAGTTCTAATATGGCATTAAGAGTTAAAGTACGCTCAATTTTCATGTAAATCTATTTTAAGAGCAAAATTAAAATTGCTGCACAAGTATCGCGTGTTGTGACACAGGTCACGGCAAGGAGCGTGACGTCATTCCGATGAGGTGACGTAAGTCATGTCACTGATTACGTCACGAAATTATTACACTGATTACGTCACTGATTACGTCACGAAATTACTACACTGATTACGTCACTGATTACGTCACGAAATTACTACACTGCTTACGTCACTGATTACGTCACGGAATTACTACACTGATTACGTCACGAAATTACTACACTGATTACGTCACTGATTACGTCACGAAATTACTACACTGAATTTTTTTAATTTTCGAAAATTAGATGAGAAATTCATTGTTCATCTGTAAGATTGGAGATACTGGATTCTTTGGAAGTGTTGTCTTTAAAAAGTAATTTTTAAACGTATATTATTCATGAGCGAGCTTTATATAAAATTAAGAAAACTTTTCACTGTTCATCTTCCTGTAGAAGATATTATTTCCAAAGTACGCGCTGAAATACGAATTATAAAATTGACTTGGAAGTTTAAGTAACTCCGTAATAGATTTGATTCAGTATTTTTCAGTTTTAATTGGCATTGAGAGTTAAAAGACACTCAATTTGCAAGTAAATCTATTTCTGGAGCAAAATCAAATTTGTTGCACAAGTATCGCGTGTTGTTACCCAGGTCACGGCAAGCAGCGTGACGTCATTCCGATGAGGTGACGTATGTCATGTCACTGATTACGTCACGAAATTACTACACTGATTACGTCACTGATTACGTCACGAAATCCTCTCGGAAGGAACAAAAGCCCCCCAGGGGTTGATGGCCCCCGTCTGACATAGTGGCTATTAAGTTATCCTTTCTTTTGAGTTCTATGAGTATATCAGTAAATTATCAAAGACATTAGTGTTATCATACACATCATTGATATCGAATTAAATCTGGTGTAATAGATCAGAAATTAGAAACGGACTGACAACTAACAGTCTCATATTTGCCACTATGCAGGCCGTGACATAATCCTAACAAGAAGTTCGGCGGGGCATTCTTCTATATTAACGTGACATTATTTATTTATATTATATCTCTTAACATATTAAAATATTTATTATTATTATTTCATTTATATCATTATAGATATATAATAATATTATTATATTATATTATTATTATGAAATTATTTCTTTTAAGGGGAGCGTCTGGGGTAAAAAATATCTCGGATATCACTACTAGACGGATCGATTCAGAATTTGGTACACGTATATAAAATGTAATTATGTTTTTAGGGCATTTTCTCATTTATAGAAAATATGCACTATTGTGCTCGTCATGTCCGTTTATCTGTCTGTCCGTCCGTCCGTCCGTCTGTCCTTGATCTCAAGTTTTCGTCGACGAGAAAATGCGCTCTCTGTCACTCACCGCAGTGAGTACAGAGTTATATTTTTCTTGTTCGCGTGAATTTTTCGAAAAATTGAAAGAAAACGTGAAATTCTTTTAAAACGGCCTAAAAGGGGATACTGTAGAAAGTTAATCACTCCTATGATTTTCAAGCTACAACATCGAGACATATCATTCGATGCGTAAAGACCATATTTAAAAACGTAACCTCGGCTTTTTTTAATGTCACATTTTTGCGGGAGCATTTTTTCCGAAATTTTTTGATTTTACTTCCGCCTTCCCCCCCCCCCCTTTTAGACAAATAAAACCCGAACTATGACGAACATGAGAAAAGCAACCATCCTGTCAAGGATGGTGAGAGCGACGGTGCGGGAACCACCTCGTACGATTGCCGCAAGGTTACTGGAGCTGAGTGTCTGTAGACTAGCTATATATAGTGCAATAACGGAGTTATTCCCTATGTTAAATGTGAAAGAACTCCTTCACCTCCCTCCCTTACGGAATCTGTAGTAAACGCATAAATCAACGTACAGAGATGGTTTGGTACCGTTGGATAGGTCAGAGTGTCAACTTTAAGATGAGACTAAAAACCGGAAAAGCCGAAATTGTCGATTTTGGACCCAGACGCTCCCCTTGATTTTACATTCATTTGACATGACATGCTTCATGCTCCAGGCCTGGAGCGTGCTGTGCGTCACGTGGAGCACACAGTGGAGTATGGCACAGACTTGCTCCAGTTCTCCGGACAACACCTCAGCTTGCTCCAATATCTCCTGATTGACGTGCTCGCCGTTATTGTCTCTGTTATTGTTTTGATCTTTATTGTCTTGTATGTCTTCATTCGTTGTATCTGGCGAACAGTTTGGGGTAAGCTTAAAATGGACTGAACAAAAAAGCTCGAGCTCCAAATACGCTGAAAAAATGGTTCATTATTTTTGTGAATAAAATCTCATTCAATGGCGACGTCTTTTTTCCTTAAACATGAAGTGAAATAATTTCCAAACTGTGGTACGTGAACAGTTCCTCCCTTAATAAGTATCAAAAATAATGTAGCAAAGATTTGCAGCAGTTGCCACTCACTTTAGGGTGGTTGTAATCAAATGAAACGATTACTCTATGCACAAATTATTAACACATCATGCATAGCAAATGCAACTATAATGCTGCCTGTTGAGGCTAATTAGTGATATTAATTGGCGGAACAAGCGGTATCTGGCCCTGGCTAATACCCCATTTTTAATGGTATTTAAGTAAAAGATAAAATTTTAACTTTCCACCATAATTAGTTATGAAAATATTGATTCATAATTTTAATGAAACCCGCAGTCAAATTTTTGAGAGTAAATTGGTGATTAATTAAATATTCACCTACTTCTATAACTGAATATAAATATGTTTAGCAAGTGTAATCAGTATGGGATGAAGTGCTATTAACTACACGTAGTCACAAAAATTCAGTTTGTTGACAGTATTTGAATAAAATTTCCTTTCTAATATGTCTCATTTTCGTGAAAGTTAATAAATGTTCCCTGTTAAACGCTTACATTATAGTTAGTTACCACAAATTACAGTGAATAAAAATCGGTTCATCAAAACCTAGCCTAAAAAAGAAGCCCGTTTAAACGATTCCTCTCTTTCACAAACATTTTTTGCATATTGCCAAAGTTCTTATTTTTATGAAGCTATACGCCGCAAATCATCAGTAGCGCATTTCAAGTGACGTAGATCAAAGATATTATTTTCAGAAATTGTTACGAGTTTGCATCTCCCTCAGCCAATCACTGACGGCTTACCACGCTAAGTCCTCCAATCGCAGACGAAAAATCCACCGCGTCGTGTACATAGGCCGCAAGTGCACTTAGACGATTTTTAATGGTTCGGCCCCGTTTTTCTTAAACCTAGTAACTTTTTTCGCAGCGATGGTTTGAGGGCATGGGTCCCTCGTGCATCACACTCAATACGCAGGAAACTGGTTAGAGTTTTACGTCGTGCAATTTTATTAATGTACTTAAAATTTTGACGTGCAAACAAAATTAAGTGAGTAGCATTAACGAAGGCTGGCTTTGGTCTAGTCGAACTAAATAACGAACTAGTCACTTGACGTGCTGAGGTTGGCCATGGATGACCGACTGAAATTAAGTAACTGCAGAACTCAACTAACCTAACCTAACCTCAACTTCAAGCCTAAATATACACCTGTATTTGACTCTGTTCTGCCCACACCATTAGCCCCACCTGCTCTGTCCTCACCATTAGTCCCACACCTGCTCTGCCCTCACCATTAGTCCCACCTGCTCTGCCCACACCATTAGTCCCACCTGCTCTGCCCTCACCATTAGTCCCACCTGCTCTGCCCTCACCATTAGTCCCATCTGCTCTGTCCACACCATTAGTCCCACCTGCTCTGCCCACACCATTAGACGTCTCGGACAAAAACGCGGCCTCTAAGTTTCATCAAGCTACGTTCAGTATTTTGCGAGATATTCCACGCTCACTGAATTTGGAATCACGGCCGCGAGACCGGCCGTGAGAGAGGCCGCGTTTTTGTCCGAGACGTACCAAGTACCAAGCGGTCACTGATTATTCAGATAGATCTAAATAAATTATAAAATTTATTTGCAAGCCTAGCGATGCAATAATGACGTTGACGCCATTCTTGAATTTCTACATAAAACGTGTTGTAAATAAAATTAGAGATTCATCGCTTTTAGCACGCGTGTACCTTGCATAGATATACTGAAGCTATCACTTGTTTTTATAGACATGCTACTAGGTAGTTTTCATTCTACCATTCTGATTTGTTCCAGGTTAATTTGTGAAACGTAAAATATCTGAATATTGAATTCTGAAAACTCAGTTAAAATTAATCTTAAACCGCACGTTTTCAGCCGTTTTTTAAACTCGAGGAAACAGCCGATATGTATGCGCGAGATCTATTTACATAATTTGAGTTGAACGATTTCATATTTTACACATTTTTATTCAGAATATTACCGGATCTTTGTCTCAAAGAACGGTAAATTGTTCAATTTTTGCTCTATGATAATATGATGAAATATACCGGGAAATTTCCCTGGATTCGGAACCCGTCAAACGCTTCTCCACATTGCACCAATGAGATTTCGCCACAGTTGTGTAACGTGTCTCTGGCAGCTGTGCGGCGAGGCCAGTTTGATCCGAACGTTCTGTCAGTTGTGTTACAGATTGCAACAAGCGTGGCGACTTTTCAAGCTGTGACGCGAATGTTTTGTTTCGAGTACCTCCGATTATAAATTTTTATTGGAAGACCTTTAAACTAAAATTGTATAGGTTAGTATCTTGCAAATATTCAGCAAATTACGTACGTACTTTAGTTTATATGTTTTTCAATAATTTTGGTTATTTCAATATAGGCTATAATGCATATTCACTATCATATTGCATCATTCGATCATTGCATGTTCTTTCACATTTGAAATAGTATATTCCTTCTCTGATTTCTCTTTTTCTCATTTGGTCTTGTAATATTTATAAACTTATTCACCATGATTTTTATTGGAACTATGAACTATCAGCCATCTTAGGGTATATTTTCACTTCACAATTTTAGTCAAGTACAAGGAACGGGTGAATTGGCCCAGGAAAATGGTGTCAAACAGTCAAATCAAAGCAGAGACTTTTTTTAGACTTCTCCTCAACTCGCTTGTTTGTGAGTCCTATAACATAACTAGACTAGTAAATGGAGTAAAGTATCACAGATACCAGCATTATCATGCATAAAGATTAAGATATTGGCTTATAGGGTAAACGTGGTATACCTATTCCAAGGGATTTCCAACATCCGAACATTGTAGGTAATTCCAACACTTCTCAACTTTTTTCCTTTATAGCCTATTAAGCTTTTTCTTAGTTCCAGGCATTTGTTGATGGTTGAAATAGTGACGTCATAGTCGTCATACAGTCATACTTTTGCGCGCCATACTAGCTATTGCCAAAACACTAGGTCTGGGGCTCTGGGCATTCTGGCGGGAAATTGTTGAGGGTATTACTTAAGATTAAGTGCATCCAAGAAAGAGTGTTTTTTTTTATTAGGTATATGTTTTTGGGGTGTAGATTAAGAATCTGAAATCCGTTTTTGGCGGTCGGAATCGGAAATTTTTAATGGAACCAGTTCCTAACTGCACCTAACCTGCAAGGTTTTTTTGATCGGCTAGGTTTTTTCTATGTTTGGACTTTGGAGTCCGACCAGCGGCCGGAAAAACCTAGCCAATCAATGAAAACCTAGCAGGTTAGGTCTAGTTAGTAGTTAGGAATGGATTCCAATAAAAATTTCCGATGCCGACCGCCAAAAACGGATTTCAGATTCTTAATCTACACCCCAAAGAACATATAATTAAAAAACACCCTTTTTTGGATGCACTTAATCTAAAGTATTACCATGTTGAGATCCAAAGAGAGACAGTGCGCGTCAGTGAGTGGTGGCGTCACCTAGCGAGAACATTGAAAAAATTGTCAAAGTTGATACTTGACCTTGCTGAGCTTGCTCTTGCAAATAGTGCTATATTGTTTGTGTTGAAAGAATATTATGGTTTGAGACTTTTAAATAAGTCTGTGAACATATTAGAAATCCTTTAAGTATACTTGTATTTGCTGATTTAAAGTTGTAAATAAATTAATAGATGATTAAATCAAGAGACGGTTATAGACACATAAAAACTAATTCCAACACAGCTTGGAATTAGACACACACAGCTCATTCCAAGCTGTGTGCAAAAATTGAAATTTTCTTAACGAAAAGCTTAATAGCTCTTAATTAAAAGCCTATATAAGTAGTGTTCAATATTCAATAGTGTTCTGATTCCAAGCTGTGTCATATTCCAATAGAGCTCACACAGCGATCGGAATTTGAACACAAGAGTGTTGGAATTACGAATTAGTAGAGTTTAAAGCGCGGCCGGAATTAGTCTCACAAAATGCCAATTTTAGTCACACAGCGTCGCACTGTGTCGGAATATATGGTTTTGGTAGGTTTGCATTCTATAGGCTTTTAAATAAATATGGCAACATTTTGTGATGTTTCATTGTTGCTGGCACGTGGTGCGGTGTTTGAAGAGTGACATAAAGCAAACAGAACTCGAGTTGCGCGTATGTTTTTTTATAGCCATTCATTTTTTGCTACATCCTTGAAGTGTCGGAATATACCGCATTTACCCTATTAAAGAAGAGGAAGTTCAAAATGACTTGATTCTATAAAATCTGGTTTGACACTATTGAATACTAGGTATTGCATTAGCACTCACTGCCACTCAGTTAGGCCTAGGTATAGTTCCAAAATATTTTGTCAATTTATGTACGTATGTCATCAGTATATGCCTTTAAAAGTTTGTATCAACAAATTTGTTCTGTATAAAATAATGAAGGTGGGGTTTTGTCAGCACTCTCAGCAGCAGTGACATCTTAAAGCAGTGACATTGTTAAATAAAGCAGTGACATCTTGTCCCATTATGCCTGGCTTGATCATAATGGCAAATCAGAGGTTTCTAGGCTCTTCCTCTAGTTTAATTTTGAGTCTTATAATAACTTTGAGTAGGTCAGTAAAGTATCATGGATACCAGCATTATCATAACATAACATTGTGATGTCAGCGCTAAAGAGTAGGCCTGATGTGGCCTGTTGCCAATTCTTGAACTTTTCGTTGCTAGTTCACAGAAGATCTAAAATTGTGTCATTTGACTGGATCTTTTCAAGACTGACAATAGTTTGAAATAGCTACTAGACTTCCACTGGGACAAGATATTGGTTTAAAATCTTAGGCAAGTGAGGAAATTAAAAATGACTGTCTAAAAAATCACTGGTTTGCCACTATGAGTATGGACTTGATGGTCTTGACCCATAGAAATATGTCAGTTGTGTAGTAATTTGTTTACATCATAATATCATCAATATATGTGGTGTGGCCACAATTTCTATTCGATGTTGAGAAAAATGTTGTGTACCAAAATTACAAATGTGGATGCAAATCTTAAGGACTGCTGTGCAGGATGTAATTGTATCCTGCCTCATGGCCATAAACTGATAAATGCATATACATGTATTGGTGCATTCAGTGCCACTACCAGCTCTGCGCTGACATCAGTTGTCAACTGATATGATCGAGATAGTCTTGCATGAACTGTGCTGTCTATTCACCATTGGTTTCAGGAAGCTGAATTTGCATGGGAAAATTTCCCAGAAGCCTACATGAGATTTTGTGAATTGTTCCTGTGATCTTGATCATTTGTCTGATGTTACAATTTCTAGTGAAAAAGTTTGTAAAGTAAAACATTTTAGATATTTACAGAGTGAGAGTCAAATTTTTTCAGATAATTTTGAAATGTTACAGCTACATTGTTCAGTTTTACCAAAAATTAGATTAGAAATAATTAGTTGTGAAAAACATTTTTTTTTCAAGCAACCTATTGATTATTTGGACCTACAAGTTTATCCATTTTATGGCTGTGAAAAATGAGTCAGTTTCCTTGAATAAATTTGTCAAGCCTTGAATCTATCTTATCCAGCCAGGATGACCAGCTCATCAAGTAAATGATCTTTGATTTGATCTGAGTTATGTTCCTTGTCCATATGGAATTAGTTGAAATTTGAAGACCTCTTACTAAGCTCTAGAAGATGCATATTTTTGGAAAATGTTCCGATGCAGATCAGGTTCTGTGGCTCCCTTTTCAATCAATTTCAATTTTCAACTGATGAAAATTGAATTCTGTTTGACCCTCAAGTATGAGATGAAATATTATCAATTGTACAAAATGACTTTTCTTGATCATCCTCTTTATACCTTAAAGCTGATAACTTCCATTTCACAACTTTGCCATGAAAATTACATCCCATTCATGGAATTCTGATTTTTCAGGATGTTTGGCATCTGGAGATTAGCAGTGCTATGTACGGCAGCTGTGCTGTTTATGCTGAGCGGCTGTCATGGCCTTACTGTCATGAGTGTGGACTTTGGCTCTGAGTTCATGAAAGTGGCTGTTGTGGCAGTAAGTGAATTGATTCATTATTTTTATTCAAGTTAGTAATTTTGTACATGTCTACAAGCATCTAATTATGACTAGAGTCTCAAGTGAGGATGGACTTACTTCTCCTATGTTTAAATTACCTAATTGCATTATGGCCACTACATAGGTAGCCTATGTGTAGTAAGAAGGCTTGTAAATTAATATCATTTTATTTGAATGGAGACTATTAATATTAATCACACTCAATTCTTAAAAATCAATTTTGAGATTAATGACTTGTCTGTGATGTAGTAAGCGTTTTGTTTGAATTCATTTGGTTTGAGTAATATGTATTGGATTTATGATTTGAGCTGTAAAGTGATAATATAAAATTGAAAATTCCCATAATTCCTTAGACAAATATTCATTTGAAATACACTAGTGTCAAATTGATTGGTCTGGTCTTTATTATTGTAATGTTGAAACTTTTTCTGATGGAAGTGATATTCTTTTTGGCCTTGAATATCTAGTTTTCTGTTGGCCAAACATATGATGGATACTCTTATTCACTTTTATACCTTGTTTCAACAATCAGTTAGATATCTGATCTGCTGTGCAGCCAGGAGTGCCAATGGAGATAGCTTTAAACAAGGAGAGCAAGCGCAAGACTCCTGTTGCGATTGCCTTCAGGGATGGAGAGAGAACCTTCGGAGATGATGCTATCACAGCTGGGATGAGGTGAGAACCTTTAGAGACAATGCCATCACAGATTCACAGCTGACATCAGGTGAACAACTTAGGAGACATCGACATGACAGCTTTCATGATGTGAGGACCTTTAGGGGGATGATGCCATCTCTGTTGGCATAAGGTGAGTAGTACCTTTGGATATGCTGCCATCACAGCTGGCAATGCTGACATGAATTGAAGACCTGTGGAGACAATGCCATCACAGCTGACCTGAGGTGAGGACCTTTGTAGACGATGACATGATATTGTCACCACCTGGTTGGTACGGTACTATATTGGTCAACATTAATATTGCCACAGGTTGACATCTAGCATATTAGCAAACATTATTGCCAGAGGTCACCATCTAGCGTATTTATGAACATTGTTATTGCCACAGGTCGCCATTTAGCGTATTTATGAACATTATTATTGCCACAGGTCGCCATTTAGCGTATTTATGAACATTATTATTGCCACAGGTCGCCATCTAGCGTATTTATGAACATTATTATTGCCACAGGTCGCCATCTAGCGTATTTATGAACATCCTGCACCTGCTGGGCAAGCCTGTGACTCACCCCATAGTGGAGGCCTACATAGCCGCCCACCCTCAATACACCATCTCCCCCCACCCTGTGCGGGAGACTGTCGTCTTCAAGATATCTGAGTGAGTCATGCTTAATTGTTAAGAATTGCTGTGTTGCAATGAGTGAAATAGTTTCCATCTATGCATACGTTCTTATGCACATTCAAATTTTGGTATTACAGTAGACTTGTGTTAGATTGCTGGTAGTTATGCCTGGTGGACGGCTGGTAGTTATGCCTGGTGGACTGCTGGTAGTTATGCCTGGTGGACTGCTGGTAGTTATGCCTGGTGGACTGCTGGTAGTTATGCCCTGGTGGACTGCTGGTAGTTATGCCCTGGTGGACTGCTGGTAGTTATGCCCTGGTGGACTGCTGGTAGATTCGTCCCTTAAAGTAAAAAGGGAAGGCACATGAAATATCTGAAATTGCGTGCTTTCCTTGAACTTAGCTTCTATTTTTCTAACAAACTAATGTAATATTGCTGTCTAATGTATTTATTTATTAAGGTTTTGCATTGCCCTCTCTGTAATACCGAGATTACTCTCATAAATTCATTGCATGAAGCCTGCAGACTTGTATTCCTTGTGTCCCGCATGTCCTGCTGGTGAGACATATCCTTCACGTCCCTCACATGGCCACCTCCTGTGCAGAGAGCTAAGCCTGACTGTAGAGGAACTGGTGGCACAGCTGCTGAAGGAGGCGCAGGCGCAGGCGTCGGCACACACAGGGCAGCAGGTGAAGGACCTCGTCATCACCGTGCCTGCCTTCTTCAACCAGGCCGAGCGCCGCGCCCTCCTGGAGGCTGCACAAATTGCCGGACTGAAGGTGCGAGCATCATCCATTGTTGCTTAAATAAATCGCATTAACTTATGATTAACAATAATCTATTTCTTTTGGAGGCTTGAGGAGCTTGAGGCTGCTTGAATAGCTACATCCAAGCATTACCTTTCAGAAGTATGATGACCTCAAATTTGCCATAAATTCAGCACGGATCTTCCACTGCACGCTTCTCTACTTTTTAACTGTGACGAAAATAAATATTTGTTGATAATTAAAGCTCATCTTTGCAGGTCCAAGATTGACCAACGAGATCAGTTTTCATCAATCAATCTTTGCTTCCATCAGCAATTGTTTTTTTTTTCAATCTCAGGTATACTAATCTCTTGTTGATCAACGCTAATCTCGTGCCCTGACCAGGTGTTGTCGCTGATATCCAACAACGCGGCGGTGGCGCTGAACTACGGCATGTTCCGCCGCAAGGAGATCAATGCCACGGCGCAGTACCTCATGTTCTATGACATGGGCGCCTCCCAGACCACGGCGTCCCTAGTGGCTTTCCAGACCGTCAAGACCAAGGATAAGGGCTACAGCGAAACCAACCCACAGCTCACGGTGCTGGGTGTGGGGTGAGTGACTGCAATGTAAACAAGTTAAAGAACTATACAAATATTTTGAGGCTAAAGCTGAATATAGAAGTGCTAGTATGACACAAGTTCTTGTGAGCCTGACATTTCATATTGAAGTTTCCATATGTTAATGATAGTTACGAGGTTTTGTGATGCATTAGAATTTGATTATAATTTACTATGACCTGGCATGCAGATTTGACCGGACCCTGGGTGGCCACGAGATGCAGCTGCGGCTGAGGGACTTCCTGGCGCGCAAGTTCGACGACATGAAGAAGACGTCGACGAGCGTCTTCAGCAACCCCCGCGCCATGAGCAAACTTAATAAGGAGGCCGCCAGACTCAAGCATGTCTTGTCCGCCAACACCGAGCACATCAGCCAGGTGGGTGGTGGGGTGGAGGCCAGGTGGGTGGTGGGGTGTAGGCCAGGTGGGTGGTGGGGTGTTGTTGTTGTTGTGGTTCCCCGGTCTCACTTTTACAAGAGACCCCCCTCGCGCAAGTACGACACCACCGACAGGGGGACGCTCCAGAGCTGTAGGGCCGAGGTTATGTGGTGGTGTTGTCTGAGGTCCTGCCAGAGCGGACATTCCAGGAGAATGTGAGTGATAGTGTCGGGAGCTCTCTGGCAGGATGGGCAGGTGTCTGTGTCTGCTTGGCCTATTCTGTTTGCGTATGTTTGTAGTGAAGGGTGGTGGCCGCAGCGCAGCCTGGCTAGGTGTACTCTCTCCAGTCTAGAGAGCTGTGTTTCTGTGCTGCTTATGTCGGGTGGTGCCGTGGTGGGAGTTTGTATGTTGGTGCTAGTGTTTCTTTGTTTTTGCCGAATTTGGTACCGCCTAGGGCCCGAAGTGAGTTGAGTCTGATGTTTGCGTTGTTCACTATGTTGTTGATGTGAGGGCCGAATGTCATGGAGGTGTTGTAAGTGACCCCTAATATTTTTGTTTCGTGTGTGTGCGGGATCGGGTTGTTGTTTAATGTGATGTTTGGTCTGTATTGGTGCTCCTTTGTGTGGCTGGTCATTAATTAATGTGTTTGTGGATTTACTAGGAGCAACCTTGAGTCTGTTCAGTGTGAGCCATTGTGATAGAGTGTTGAGATATGTTTGTGCTTGTTGAGTACATATGTCTGCGGATGGGTGAGTGGATGTTATTGTGACGTCATCTGCATAGGAGGCAATGTGGATGTTTGGAGGTGGTTCGAGTATGTCGTGCATGTATAGATTGAAGAGTGAGGGTGATAGGACGGAGTTTATGCTTTGTGATGCCATCGTTTATGCTTTGTGTGAGGTTTGTGAGTAGTGTTGTAGTCGAGTGGTGAGGTCTGAATCCGTGTTGTGTTGGAGAAAGTGTAATGTGCGGAGTGGCTGTGTTCAGTATGAGGCGCTCTATGACTTTTGATGGTGTACAGAGGAGTGTGATTGGTCTGTATGAGGCGGCCTCAGTGGGTGGTTTGTTGGGTTTGAGAAGTGTGATTATTTTGCCAATTTTCCAGATGTATGGTATTTTGGAGGGTGAGTAGGAGAAGTTGGCAATGTTTGTAAGTGTCGTGATTCCGTGTGGGCCAAGGTGTTTAAGGTGTAAGTTTGTAATGTTGTCGGGCCCAGCGGCGGAAGAGTTTTTAATTTGTTGTATGACCCTTTTGGTGTCGTTTGTAGTGTCTAGGGTAGCTGTTGAGTCTAGTGGAAATTGTTGTTTGCGTCTTATGATGCGTCTGTCTTCTTTGTATGTGGGTAACCTACTTATGTTTGCGTAGTGTTGTATTAGGATGTTTGCTTGTGCTTGTCTGGTGGGGATGTTGTCTGTATTGGTGGTGATTGCTGCGTGGGTGTGTTCTTGTTTGCTGTTTGAGTTGTGTAAGCTGCGTATTGTTCTGTATAGATGTGTGATGTTGGATTTGTAGTCCAGTGTATCCAGGAACTCGAGCCAGGCCCGTTGCTGTTGCTCTGTGATTTTGTTCTGAATTTGTGCATATAGTTCCTGGATTTCTCGAGTAGTGCTTGGTGAGTGAGGGGTGGGTGTTTGTCTGCGATTGTTGTGCAGATGGCCAGGTGGGTGGTGGGGTGTAGGCCAGGTGGGTGGTGGGGTGTAGGCCAGGTGGGTGGTGGGGTGTAGGCCAGGTGGGTGGTGGGGTGTCAGCCACAACTCAATAATTGATCAGCAGAAGTGCTTGCTGCACCGTTCAAATTTTGCTCAAAGGCTGAAGATGTGCTGGTGAACTATGAGCTACGTGCGTGAACCTTGCACGCACTGACTTGAACATTCACCACGTAACGATGCCTATAACACGCAGGTGGAGAACGTGATGGAGGACGTGGACCTGCGGGTGCTGGTGACGCGGCAGGAGTTTGAGGACCTCATAAAGGACCTGGTGGCGCGGTCTTCTCAGCCCCTGCATGACGCCCTTGCTGCTGCTGGGGTGGACATGTCCGTGGTGGAGCAGCTGGTGCTGGTGGGCGGCTCCACCAGAGTGCCGGCTGTGCAGGAACATCTCCAGGTCTTCTATACATGTTTACTGCCTTCTGTACATGTTTGCTGCCTTCTATACATGTTTACTGCCTTCTGTACATGTTTACTGCCTTCTGTACATGTTTACTGCCTTCTGTACATGTTTACTGCCTTCTATACATGTTTACTGCCTTCTATACATTTGTACTGCCTTCTATACATTTGTACTGCCTTCTATACATGTTTATTGCCTTCTATACCGGTACGTGTTTACTGCCTTCTATACATGTGTGCTGCCGTCTATATTTGTTTGCTGCTCTTGTTGTTCTGTGTGCACTTGATTAGGAATGAAGTTATTTTCTTACGTTTTTTTTTTATTTTATGGAAATTTACTTTATCGATGTTGACCGTACATTATGGGTTTTATCGCTCGATCGTCAATGGCTTTAATTCTGTCAGATTGGTGCCAAAGTGGCTTACGAGGCGCGTGACTAGGTTCTCATATGAATAGGTTACGGCAAAAATAAAGCGAGAGGGTTGTAGTGAAACACTGGTACATTTCATATTAAATTGGGAAATTTAAATTCAAATCTTACGTTAACTAACAAAAATTTCTAGTATATGAAAAAGAAAATCCGAACACATTCAAATACAGGAACTATCAGCTAGCATTCCCTAAAATTCACTATTTGCCAGAAAAGTTGATCCGTTACAGTTCCGTTGAGTAGACAACAGTTGTAAACGACCGTAACTCGCGCACACGTTTACGGTCGTATGTTCAGCGACCGTACCGCAGTTGTAGCCGCGCGTTTGCAGCCGTATTCCAAGTGACCGTACTGCAGATGTAGCCGTGTGTAGATCCCCGCGGTCGCTTTTTCTTCATAACCGTCGTGTCTCGTTGATATAGATGCTTCACGGTCAGTCTGGCCGTAGGTTTCTTGTAACGACCGTACTTCGGAATAGTGGTGTTCGTCTTCATAGTCGATGATATTTCTCCCAGCTCGCTGCCGTACTGTTGTTGATTCGTACCGTTTCTTCTGTGCTGATGACCGTACATATACAATATAATTCTGCGGCCGTGCTCAAAACTTGAATCTTCATGATTGCTGTCGTTATATCGTTGAATGTCGTGTTGTCTATCACGTTGTATCTCGGCTAAATCTCAATCGGAGCAATGAACGTTGACCATACAAATTAATAAGCGAAGCTAGGCCGTTACTTGTATTTTTTCTTAAGTTATTATATCTTAGTCGTGCTGGTATGAACGACTCGACGTTTCGCGCGGCCGTTACTTAACGACCTTCCGCCCTAAAGGCCGAAGCCGTTGCGGAGATAGCTACAGACCGTACTGACGAGACCACTGTAGCACCAACCCTTGGCTTCAATTTTAAGGTCCTTTTATACGCTGGTGTCGCCCACAGTTGCGCCTATTCCCTAGAAGGGACGCCGCGACAGTTTTGACTTTTGAAATCTGCAAGGGTCAGCCGTTTGGTGCCCTCGCCATTCTACCATAAATAAAACCACGGTCTCGAGAACAATAGCACCTTATACGAGCTTTCCACAGTTCAACCCAAATTTCTATAGCCTTATCACACTTCACAACACAGCTATTTTCAATATTATAGCATAAAATAGTCAGAATTACCTACGCTTTATTCACACTTATCTTCAAATAAAGTAATAACTGGAGCGCAGAACTACTAACTTATTGAGAAAAAAAATTGAAACTTGATGTGTAATGGTGACATATGCAAGTCGAACATGTATTTTATTTCTTAGCATTGACTAACATATTGTTATTGGTTCTTCCAATAACCCAAACATATTGTTTGGGTTATTGGTTAACTCTCGGGTGTAGGTGAACTTACATTATGTATGACTTCAAAATTTACTCAACCCTTCGCGCCACGCGTATCAGTTTTTTTAACGTATAATGGCATGTATCAATATTCAGGGGTTGTTATGATTGTGCAATTTTATAATATTTCTACGTTATAGATGCATTATGATTGTACTATTGTAACACTAGAGACATTATAATTGTACTATTATTGCACTAGAGATGTGCGTGAGACTTGGCCAAATGGCGATGCACTTATTGCTCTTGTGTTGGTCATCCTGATCTGGTTGGGCTCGGCAAAAGTGCAGATCAGTGTACGGCCGCTCTATGCTGGTGCTGTGAGAAAGAAAGTGTGTTATTTTATGGATAATAATATGTAACATTAAATTGTTCTGAAGTGGCCAGTGAAGCTTGAGCTGAACAAATGGTGTTATGCAGAGCGTGTGGGGACGCGAGTTGTCCCGCAACATCAACGCTGACGAGGCAGCGGCGCTGGGCGCCGTGTACAGGGCGGCTGACATGGGGCAGGGCTTCAAGGTGAAGACCTTCCACGTCAGAGAGACCAACCTCTACCCCATCGAGGTGATGACACGTCTTCTTCGTCACGCTGTCATGTCCTTGATATGATCTCTTGATATAATTAAAATAATTGTAATATGGTTACAGCAACTTGTTTGGGATTGACGTAACATCCTAAGGGTATGAAGAGTTTATTATAAGCTATATATATATTTGAGCTACATAGCGGAAACGTACGCCCCAGGGGGTTTGCAGTTTTAGTTAGTGTCTAGCCCCTTCTTTCTCGTTGGTGGAATTCATTTAAAACCCTAGGAGGTTGGCAGGAGGACTTGATTTTAATCTACAGATGGATACAGGTGGAGTTTATTCTTGGCGTTTTAGGAGTTTGCCGTTTTAGGTGGAGTTTTAGTTGGTTCGCAGGTGGAGTTCATTTAAACCCCCAGGTGGTTTGCAGGTGGAGTTTGACCGGGAGGTGGAGCAGGAGGACGGCACCTCCACACAGAAGGTGGTGCGGCGGTCGCTGTTCGCCGTGGGCAACGCCTTCCCCCAGAAGAAGGTGATGACGTTCAATAAGAATGTCGCTGACTTCGAGTACAGAGTCAACTATGGCGCCGACCTCATGACCACTGCCAGGCTCAGGTGACCGGCTCTGCAATTCTCTTGTTAATGATGATTAAATAAGACGCTGCGTGAACTTACTGCACGAGTAATTTTAGGAAGAAGAAATTTTGGAAGAACTTGTCACCTAATGCACATAAAAATATAATAATTGCTATACCGTGTGGTATCACTGATCACTATCTGTGTGACGCCTGAAATTATATTATAGCGTTATAATGGATTGATATGGTACTTGGTTACTAGTGTGATATGTTGACGGTATAATGGACCAAGGCAGCACTAGTGGTTACTAGTTGATACGTTGACGTTATAATGGACTAAGACAGCACTTGAGTGGTTACTAGTGTGATATATGACGTTATAACCTACTAAGACAGCACTTGAGTTACTAATGTGTAACGTATGCATGTGCAGACAACAGTTCGGCAGCGTAACGCCAGCGCTGCGTCGGGCGCAGGTGACGGGCGTGACGAGCGTCTACGAGGAACACGTGACGCGCGGCGGCGCTGAGTTCAAGGGTGAGACCTATGGTGGCAGCTGAGAGGTATAACGGCCCCCCTCCTAACGCTGGTGTCATGCCTCACAACTGCCCCTGCCTTCGATATCATGCTTCAAATCTACCCCCGCCTCACGCCTCACATCAACTTCATGCCTCACATACCCCGCAGGTATCAAGGCCCACTTCCACCTAGACGGGTCAGGGCTGCTGCAAGTGGGGGAGGTGGAGCTCGTAGTGGAGCGCAACGTGACGGTCGAGGTCCCCAAGAGCAAGACGGACGAGGAGAGCGCCTTCTCCAAACTCGGCTCAACCCTCACCAAACTGTTCAGTGCGTGGCGGCCATCTTGTGTCATGAATTAATGTGTTCTTGTGTGATGAATGCGTGTCTTCTTGTGTGATAATGCGTGTCTTCTTGTGTGATGAATGCGTGTCTTCTTGTGTGATGAATGCGTCAAGTGGCATGAGGCTGAGCTTTACCAGTTACTGAGCCGTAGCAGTTAGTAAGAAGCTCTGAGCAGTAACAGTTTCAGAGCAGCAGCAGTCACTGAGCACTAACTGAGCAGTCACTAAGTAGCAGCAGCAGCAGCACTCACTAAGCCGTATGCATGTGCAGGCGGGGATGAAGAGGCTGCTGAGAACGCCACTGCTACGGAGGATGCTGCCGCGGACGCCCCTAAAGACAACGCCACCCAGCCAGGTCCTTGTTCTGCTCTGCTCTCTGGGAGGAATTGCTGCACAAAGCAACAAATTTCCACTTGTTAATGCCGAAAAAATATCACTATTATTTAGATTGATTACCTAGTGCTACAATTTGGAAGATACTTCCTATCTAATGTATATTTATTCATATATTGGTAATTTTCTAATGGTAACTTAGCTGTTTTATTGGGGCCAAGGCAGAAAGAGAAGTGCAGAACTTGTTACTCGCCCTTTCGCCATAATTTTTATGTATTTTTACTAGGTTGAAATTCTTTATTTCATCTCGCATGTTATTCTTGTATCGTGGCAGCAAGATCGTAGTTTGGGCTGTAAGGTGAAACTGTGGGTGACTTTAAAAGATTTCTAGAATGCCTGGCTACTTGCTATAATTAAATGAGGATTAATGGCAATTACGCACATGAATGCCTTGTAGTTTCAAATATTATTATGGTTACATGATAATATAATGAATCATCCATGACGACATGTATTCCGTGCAGAGTCGGCTCCCCAGGTTCAGGTTGTGACAGAGAAGCTGTTCCTGAACTGCAGCGTTGATGTGCTGGACCTGCCGCTGCTGGAGGGCGACCTGCTTTCTGAATCCCTTAACAAGTAAGCTCAGTCAAGTAATTGCCATTAAATAATAGCGTGATAGGCAAGCGTAACTATCTACTGTAGGCAAGCGTAACTAGTTACTATATGCAAGCATAATTATAAGATAGAATATGATGAGATTAGAAAATGGTATATCATTACAAGAGATCATGAGATGGATCTTAATGTTGCGAGCTTATGGCAGGCTGTCAGCACTGAACGAGGTAGCGACGGCTCGAGAGAAGCGCGAGGCAGCGCGCAACAGCCTCGAAACACTCATCCTGGACGTGCGAGACCGCATGAGTCAACAGGCCTACCTCGACGCGTCACTCTTCGACACCCAGCAGCTGCTGGCGACCACCTGTGATACAGTGCGTGGTGTGGGGGTGTGGGATGCTGGGGTGTGATGTGTTCGTGTGTGGGGTGTCGAGGGCGTGGGGTGCTGCACGAGTCAACTGGCTTACCTGGACGCCTCCTAGCTCGACACCCAGCACACGCTGGCGACCACCTGTAATGCTGTGAGGGTGTTCTGACAATATTAACAGTTCTCAAGTTGGTACTTATCTCAATGTTGAAGTCCTAACTCATTCTTTCGAAGACATAATTTTTCCTGGCAACTCACAGATCATTTCAATTTGATCAATCAATTTGATCAATGATCAATTGATCAATCAAATTTCAATCTTGGGTAGCTGGGGTTGCTAAAGGCTGCTTCAAGCTGCTCTTCCAGCAATTTGCACAAGTTCTGGCCGTCTGAGACGATGACATCTTTATCGTGCTAAGTCCCCATCGCTTTTTGAAGACACTCACTGGTTACTCGTTCCTCAGCTTCCAATTATTGCTATTGAGCTCGAGTCCAGCAAGATGCATTCAAGTACCTAGAGACCGTGACGCTTGATTGCAACTTAACTAAAAAAACAGCTGTTTCAAGGAGGGTTCTGTGTTACATACTTGGGAGTTGTCGTTGATCTATGTTGCATGTGGACGAGTGTGTGCCTCATGAATGTTTTTTGTACTACAGATGGAAGAGTGGCTGTACGACGAAGGCTTCAACGCGGAGGCCAAGGATTACTCCTCCAGAATATCGGAGTTGGAGACGATATTTGCGCCGGTGCAGCGTCGAGTGGAGGAGCACCAGCAACGCCCCCAGGCTCTACAGGCAAGGCTTGCTGCTGTGGCAGCAGTGCTGCTCTCTGCTGCTGCTTTAGCTGCACTACGACGACCTGAAATGCTGTTGCGACCCTGGCATATGTTGCAGCAGTCTACGATGTCGCATATGTTGCAAAGCCGTATTCTAGAATTCGTTCAAACGAATTGTGTTCTTATATTCCTGTGGCGATGTGTTCTCTGTGTGGTAGGTTTGTGTGGCTTGATGTGGATGTGTGTGCGGTGGGTGGTGATGGGTGGAGCATATGGGTGTGTAAGGGCTGGTGTGCTGAGAGGGTGGAGATGGTGGGGCGGCAAGGGGAGCAGAGCCTTGCGATGGGGAGCTAGAGGCAGGGGACGCAGGCTAGGGGAATCTCCTATACAAAGGGTCCCATATTCTTAAGGCGTCACTATTTATATAAGCTTGTGAATGTAGTAATGCTATTCGTTGTACATAGCGACGTAGTATGTATGTTTACCATTTTATGTTATCTTCTGGTGTCATTTGGTATTCGAAATTATCCTATAAATTTTATGTGCTTCTGACATGTGGGATATTTTGCATCTGCTCTCAAAGTTTTATTCGGTAGTTTTGCAAATAATTATGCATGTACACGCTCACACTTTTCGTTCGAGGTAAGATTAACTGAATTAACTGGTTCAGAAATGATGTCGGAACTGAATTTTCTTGTTATACCTGTTATTGGTTTACAATGCGGGTGAAAAATGGAGTTTTCTTCAATAGATTTCTTCAAGTTTGGTAGCGTAATTGGTAAAAAGTGAGGTGGCCCATCAAGCTGACGTGTAAAACGTTTGTTGATGTCCATTATAAATTTGTTGCAAGCTTTATCGTCAGCTTTCTTGCACGGGCGATTCTGCTAATGAATCGGTGATTGATCGCATTACGAGTGATCAGACGAAAAGTTTTTTGTTGCAATTTTTTGTTTGTGTATATTCTGTGTAAAGTGATAATATTTGTGTGTAAATAAGTCAATGTTGTACTGCTCTACTTCTTTGTGGGTATCCCTCGAGTTAGTGTATTATATATATTAGTTGATATCATAAGACGATAGCGACGGATAATGTTGCTCTTCACTCTATTGCTCAGCACTTCAGGTTTACTTCTCAACTTCTAAATGTCTGCATTTATTTGAGTCCTGGAACAGTTTTTGCGACTGCATCTTAGCATTAATTTGTCTTCTGATTTTCTAAATAGAAATGAGAGGTGTAGGGAACAAATATTTGAATATCGCATCTTGTGGCAAGGTGCAGTGCTTGCATGACATTATGCTTGCTTGTGAATTTATTTGAGGTAACTGTTATATCAATGTTCCATGTACACGTAATTTTCCATTTGTGTAGGCAATTTTTTGTAAGATTGTCTTCATTGCGCTCCATTTGTGGTTTCATGACTTTGAGACGTTAACTAAAGCTCTGACGGCTGGCCGTTCATAACTGGTGACTTCCTATGTTGCTAAGGATAGTACTGTAAGCTGGGGAATCTTTTGGTCGATTGTTACTTGCAGGTAATACTTCTAAATATACAAATATTACTTTTTCTATCACCTAAATAAATATGAATACCACCACCACCTATAATACTTGCGTGTCGGCGATGGACAATAAAAGTGCCCCCTCTCCCTCTCTTATTATTACCCTTGGAGGGAGAGGGGGCACCTTGATTCCCCCCTTCTGAACGCTCTCCTTGTTGACGGCTCTTCTTGCCGCCCATCTCTTTAGTTGACTACCCCATCCCCATTGCCTAATTCTCTAACATATATCTACTGAACCCGAAGGAAAACCCTGGCTGGGATCTGAAAGGATGTCGCCCAAGTTGACTACAGAGCTTACTCTTCTAGCGATACCAGACTATGTGATTTGCTCTAGGAACTTTAGATGGCATTAACGCTAACTGTACGCCACCGTTATGCTACATTCTAACCTTGCGACTCATAGTCGTTCAGAAGGCCTTGCAACAGCGCGTCTTGACCACTGAACCAAGCGAAGAGAAGCGTTATGCCTACATCTGCGCCTGGAACAGAGAAATTGTTATTGACCATCTCTTTCGCCATGCATGTGAACCAGACATGTTTGAACACTTCTGCAATCGTCTTTATTACATAACTCTAAGTTTAATCAATCTTAGTACCTACATAACTGGCGCCGGAGCTCCAGCGCGAAATAGAGTACGACCTTCTGAAGTGCTAGAAAACCTACTAACCACCCTCCCCGGGCTGCAACGCCCTAGCTGACCAAGTGTTGCTGAACATGTCACGTGTTGCAGGCGCTGAATAACATGCTGAACATGTCCTCGGACTTTATGATGAAGGCGCGAGGGTCACCCGAGTCACAGACCTGGTTTACTCCTGTCGAGCTGCAGAACATGGACGACCTCATAGTCAACACCCAGGTGAGCGACAGGTCTTCATTGTTATAGCCTACATGTTTATCACCACCACCAACGTGTTCACGGCTAAGCTCGCATGTTCACCGCCACGACCATGTTTATTGCCAATGCCTGCCATGTTCATCGCCATAGCCTACAATCCTACGTGCATGTTCACCCTCATGGCCGACATGCTCATCACCATAGCCTACGTGTTCACTGCTATGACCAACAGGTTCCCCGCCATAGGCAACATGTTCACCGCTGCAAGCATGATTTACTGACACACCTCATCTATTAAGCCTATATATCACTATAATTACCCATAGGAACATTAATATTCATGTTACCTGTCTTTCGATATCTTATGTATTTCTGGTGTCGTCCTAAGCTAATAAATCCGTGTTTGTCTCCCCATGCTGAAGTTCCTTGTTAGATTTGAAATTTAAATTTCGAATATTCCACGTGAGATAAAGCATATCCTCAATCTTCTTTTTGAATTAGTAGCTATTAGTTTGAATAAACACATTGAGGAGTGGTTGAGATATCCATTGATTACCGCGTTCGCTGCAGCGCTGGATGGAGGAGGCAGAGGAGGCCCAGGCGCAGCTACAGCCTCATGAGGACCCCAGCCTCAGTCTTAGCCTCATCGCCGACCACATCAACGACCTCGACAGGGAGGTGAGGCGGGGGTGAAAAGCTGCCTCCATGGGAGTGAAATGGGGCGCTGAGGCAGGGGTAAGAACTGCCTCCGTGCGGTTGAAACGGGGGAGCTGAGGCAGGGGCAAAAACTGCCTCCATGCGGTTGAAACGGGGGAGCTGAGGCATTGGTAAGAACTGCCTCCATGCGGTTGAAACGGGGAAGTGAGGCAGGGGCGAGAACTGCCTCCATGCGGTTGAAACTGGGAGCTGAGGCAGGGGTGAGAACTGCCTTCATGCGGTTGAAACGGGGAGCTGAGGCAGGGGTGAGAACGGTTTCTATGCGGTTGAAACTGGGAAGTGAGGCATGGGTGAAGACATCTTTTTGATATGAAAATGCTTCTACTCCTAATAACTACAATTAATATAAGCTGGATCTCTAAGACCTGTTTGCGTCGATCTGAACATTCAATAGCTGATCAACTATCCTGTCCAAAACGCGTGGCTACAAAATCCTTTTTTTCCCATTGAAAGAATTGCTCTAATCTCTTCCCTACATTGATTGCTGAACTCGTGAGAAAGATGGAGTAAAATACGAGATAAATGTTTCACAAAAAAGTCTAAATCTTTCTAACACGGAACATGTGCCGGCAGATGAAGTACCTGTTCAACAAGGCGCGGATGGGCAAGGCTAAGGCTGACAAGGAGGCTGCTGAGGCTAAGGCCAAAGCAGAGCGTGAGGCCAAGGAGGCCTTGAAGAAGAAGAAGCAGCAAGAAGAAGACGAGGACGACGAGGATAAAGATGACGAAGAAGTTGAAGATAATAATGCTGAGCAAAGTAAGTCGAAGCTTCAATATTTGGCCCGAAATAGATTTAATTTGGTGTATAACTGAATTTACCAAATGAATTAGGAAACATTCTTCATGAAAAGTTCCAGTAACATGAGTTAGAAGATTGCCATACCAATAGTAGCGTAAATGTGTGAATTCAAGTTACAATTGATGGGTATTATTGAAGTGTAGGAGTTAAATTTTAGGCACGAAAGCCCCTGAGCGTTAATATTTTGAACGAGTCCTGAGCGTAGCTCTCTGCCTGCCCTTCCAGGCACCGAGACGTTGCGGGAGGCGCGCCCTGAGCCCCTGCAGCCCGAGGAGGAGGACACAGAGGCGCCCGTCAACCCTGGTGGGTTATGTCGTATGGTGTGCTGGTGTGGCTCGCTACAGTGTGGTGTGGCTTTATTGCTTGTCGTGTGGTGTGGTGGTGGTGGTGGTAGTGATGGTGTGGTGGTGGAAGTGGTGTGATGTGGTGGTCGTGTGTTGTGTTGGTGGTGGTGGTAGTAGTGGTGGCGCCTTTTGTAATGTATGGTGTGGTGGTGGTGGTAGTAGGGGTGGGTGTAGTCGTGTGGTGTGCGTGATCTGAGACTGGCACGGTATGTGGTGAGAATGTAGTGTGGTGAAGCTAGTTGTGAAGCTCTGTTTTGTGTAATGAACTTAGCGATGGTGATACTTGTTATGTGTTGCGGGGCTGGCACTATGTGTAGGGTGAGGTAGGTATTGCGACTACATGAACTTCTGGTGTGTTTTGATTTTTTCACAGTGTACGTCGGAGGTGGGCATCTAATTGCATATTCCACCGCATATCTGTTTCTTTTGATTGACCGTCTAACCGTGGCCAAGGTCTATGGCCTCGCACTACACCATTCCCTGCCATCACTATTTCGTTGAACTGTCAATTGATTTTATTTGTATGTGTATTTATGAGCGAGTTATGCCCGAAGCCAAAAGCTTGTGTTGTGTTGCAGACGCCGTGCGGGAGGAAGAGGAAGTGACGCACACTGAGTTATGATGCGCCACGGCACAGCCAACATACCTGCTTACTCAAACCGTTGATCTGCTGTCGCAACCCTTCGATCTGCCCCCTCAACCCATTGATCTGCACCCTCAACCCGTTGATCTGCACCCCTCAAACCTTCAACTTGTCCTCTCAACCCTCTGTTCCCTCCATCCCTACAGCCCTCCTCTCACCACCCTCTACTCTGCGCATTCTTCCTGCCATCTACAGCTTGCTGTAGATTTTATTTTTACCCTGATTTAAGATCTCTTTATTTGTTATTATCTGCAAAGGTAAAGACATTCACCGACTTAATTTTTCTGGCGCATCTTGCTTACTTATCAGGTAGGAATAGCCTTGCAGTAACCCTACACTCTTCGATTGATTCATGACTCCATTAGTAATAGCATTAATTAGAAGCAAACGCTTCATGCACGGAAGAGGGACGAGCGGTCATCCAAGTTGCACGTCTAAGAGTTCATTTAGCGTCCGTTATGCGCTGTTGAAGCACAAAGAGTTGATGCGTAGCGGGTAATTGGTGGCATTTGAAAAAAAAATCGAAAAAATACGTAAAGTTAAGTTATATTTTTAGGTTGACGATGAAAGCAACAGGAAGGCGGAATAAAGGGTTTTTCTTGAGGTATAGTTGCAATTTTCTGGGGGTTATTAAAATGAACGAGTTTAACTAAACGTCAAAGCTTCGGAAAGGCTTATCTTACCTTTACTTGTTGAAAAAATACGTGCTGTTAGAATATAATTCTTTTATAGAACGCAACGTAAGGTCGTGTAGAATCTTTTCCAGAATATTTATTAATTGATGAATTATTTAGCTTGTATTAATTTATTTAGCTGAATGAATGGGCTTTGTGGAATGTTTGCCAGGTTTAAATTGGGTAAATATTAGGTCCACGACGCGACGAGTAAACATCATTCAAATAGCTTAGCATTTCATACAAAGATGTCGGCTTCTTTTCTGAAGATGTTGCTTCATCTACTTCAAAACTCGTTACTTTGTTTGAATTCTGTGTTTTGTTCCTCGCCATCGCGTAGCAGACTGAATTGACCATAGAAAACCAGGTAAAAATCGCGTTTTTTCTCTGCATGCGCAGAGGTTGACATTCCCTTTATGCGTGGCTCATTCTTCGCATTATTAGTGACTTAAGAGTTACAGGCAAGAAATATTGCGATAACTTTAGTCGTGTGGCTCTCCGAACTAAACATTATTAGACTGATGTTGTCCTGATGCTTGGTTGGTTTGGTTCACCCCGCGGCAGCCACGACCTGACGTAGCCGTTATTGCTGCGTTATTGTCCTGATGCCTTGGTGCCTCAACGCCTCGATGGCTGCCAATAGCAATATTTCATAACTTTTACTGCAGATGAAATTTTGAGCATTTCATTGTCCGTGACCAGATATTTTACAACTTGCTTGCAAAGGACGCATTTTCCTTCGTATTGACTCCCCATTCGATGTCAACGAAATTTAAATCTAATCCTTATTTACGTTAAAACTTTGTATTTAATTACTTATTTATTTGTTTTACTATGTCGCGAATATATGATTACTGTGTATCTGTGTTCCTGTGCGAAGATGGTCTCAAAAGGCTCTTCGTGTAGTATTGTTCAAGGCTTTCATGAGGCAACACGTGGCCTCCATTGAGCTTTACATCAACATACGAGTACGTCTGTAGTCTTCGTCTCGCCCGCTTTCTTCAGAGTTGGTCGAAGATTGGTCTTCGTGTTGCTCTTTATCCAGAATATTGAGCCGTCTACTGGCTGCCATTCTTGTAAATGATAAAGGAATTACGAGAATCCGTGCACTCATATGTGTTGCTGCAGTATTTCCAAGCACTCGTGGCGTTCGTTCTCGTTTGTGGAGATTCGATCGATTCTCGACATCAGTGTATTCATTCATCCATACCTCCAATGATTAGTTTCTAACTTAGGTTGATATTGCGTTCATAAGTTTAAAAATGCGTACCCATTGTTTACTGCGAATAATTGTTGTATAGATAATAGTGATAAGATCTTCGTGGTATCAATGTCTGAAATAGGGTCTTTTAGAGGTCGAACAAGAATTAATTCGTGCACTTAACGCATTGCTATTCCTACCTCAATTATGAAGCTGTCGACTAGCGAAGGGTTTGGTATATCTCGGCGTTGTTATGCCGTCATCGGAATGATTTTAACAGTTTTGGGAATTCACACCTAAGGCACTAACTTGACTCGTCAGATGTCGGCTTCTTTTGTTCACATCTCTATAGCATTTAATGCACTTAATTAGGTTAATAATGCCAATGCTTGGAAAAAGACATCGTTTAAAGTTGCTGCGCCTCAAATGAAATGACGAATAAAGTTACTATGACCAAATTTGCTTGTAAAGTGAAACGTTAAAATATATGCGAACTGAAAGATTATTTTCATGGCAGGTTATCGAGATATTAGCGACCTGCTGTGTTTTCGACTTGTGTTTGTGTGGATGATTTCTTACTATTTATTTCCTGGTAGTTGTGGATGTAATATTTTCTACTGTTCTGTGCATTATTTACCACTCCTGTGAATATACGAGTATGAGTTTCTTTCTCGCTTGCATGTATTTGAGGCAACATTAGTCGATGGAAAATGTATACCTTTGCTCTCACCTGAGCAGCGCAGTGAATGATCTTGAGAGCTGAGTAAATGTTTTGTTAAGAATTTGTAATTTACCTCACTTAAGAGTGATCTACTCGCCATTAAAACAAGGCAATATGAACATTGCAATCACGTGTTGTAGTTTGGTTCTAATAAAGCGAGGGAAGGATTGCTTCGAGCCTTATGAAAATGTGTTATAATTCAGCTTAATAGTACGAACACAAAGTTCAACAAATTTTAAAATTATACGGAATACCAAAACGCAAAAAAATATAGTTATGTACTTCACCTCATATAAGTCCTTCATATACAAGTACTTCACCTCGGCAAGAACAATGAACAGCAAGCTTACAGCATGAGAAAACACGGTTGCAACGAGAGGGTTATGATTGAGAAGTCTTGCGTGGAAAAAGATCTTGGAATTTGTGTCGACAAGGAGCTAAAATTTTATAGGCATATTGAAACGCAAGTTAATACATCCAATAAACTGCTTGGGCTGATCAGACGCTCCTACGAGTACCTAGATATAGCATATAGAAATGATGAAGCTGTTGTTCACCCCTGTCGTGCGCCCGAACCTAGAGTTTGGAAACGTTGTGTGGTCACCGAGACTTGAAAAGGACAGAAATTTAGTTGAGAGTGTTCAAAGATGAGCAACAAGGATAATTCCAGGATTAAAGGGCAAGTCCTATGAAGAAAGATTGAAGATTATGAAGCTTCCCAGTCTCCGTTATCGTCGCCTGCGTGGTGACCTCATTGAAATACACAAGTATACTCATGGTTTGTACAAGGTCCCAGAAGGATTACTAGAATTTGAAACAAGAACCAACAACAAGGGCCGCAGCTATAAACCAAAAAAAAAACTGCGGTGCAACTTATCCACGCGACAACATTTCTTCTCGCTTCGAGTCACTGACATGTGGAACAGCCTCCCTGAAGATATTGTTGACGCTCCGAGTATGAACGCGTTCAAGAACAGACTAGACAAGGCCATGCAAGAGCATATGTTTAGTCAAAATGCCTCGTACCCTACGGTACAACTGATATCGAGAATCGATTTTAAATCTACCGTCCGTTGAAAAGATCTGATCAAAAGGCCAGTCCAGTCAAGAAAAGCACAAGAATCGGCGACAGGCCTATCCAGGCCTACTCTTTAATGCCGAAGATACTATACCATACTATACTATGGAAAAACTTAAATGAATCTTTTGCTAACTTACTTGTAACTGTTGTTTCCGCGCAATGATTGCGTAAAATTTAAAGTAATGACGATGCTATATCATCACGATATAATAAGGTAGAGTCGATATCAGAAAGCCACTACATAAATGATTGCCTGCTGCTTCAATATTATTCATGCATTATATGAGATGCGAGTTCCGACTCCTTCTTGCCCTAAGTAGGTGCTCCTAGCAGCAAGCTTGAACGCTTCGTTACTACACACCTTACTGTAAACTTGGTGTATACCAGTAAATTATTTATTCTCGGTGAAATCGTATGGATCGATTTGCGTTTACAAGGGGCCAGTTGAGACAGCTGGCAATAACGGCCAAAATGACTGGCAATTTATTTTAGTATTTTATCATCTGTGGCAGCCGGTGCATCATTAAAGGCAAGAAAAATGTGCAATTGGTATTAGTTATCGTCTTTACCATTATTATTTCGCATGCCAGCTAAGTTCGATAATCAATGTTCAGTTTATAAAATACTTTACAAACGCAACTCCTTTCAATAAACTCGAAATTGTTGCTTCAAATGTTTCATTGAAAATATTAAAATGGTGGAAACCGACATTGACCTTCAAATTAGTTTGCAAGTGAAGCAAAAATTGACGATAAAATAATTTCATGGCTCGAGAGTCGAGAATGAGAATTGACTTCCGCTCCAGCAGATATTTCGTTGCCGAAGACAAACTAAATCGCAGTCCAGAACATTTTGCATCGCAGCGATAAACAGTGTCCTTCTGTTTACAAGTTGGATTGGTTTACAACATTTAAATTTTTGTGGTAATTTGAAATTAGATAGTATATATGCTTAAACCTTCTATTTAGCTAGTAATAAAGCTAGATAAATTTAATAATTAATATTTATTACATCTGAGTTTACTATTTCGCAACCGGTATCACAATGGTAAGTCACGAAGCGAACTTGTAACAACTTAAGTCTTAACAGTAACAAGGACAAGAACAATTTTCATTACAAATTATGTTCTAACATTTTTTTGAAGCTGGAATGTATTATGTTTATTTTGCTTGATATGTAACGTTGTAACCACTGGAGTTGGAAAACTATGTATGAATATAAATACCTAAATAAAAATTTGGCAAGATGTGAACTCCATGGTCAGGAAGGTGCAGCCCATGGTCAGGAAGGTGCAGCGTGTACAGTACGCTGGAGGTTCGTTTTTGGATGTACGCCAGTATGCCAGGGAAGAAAGTTGTCAATATGCTTGCTAAAAACGGAAGTGTAACCCTCGCCAATGCTGCATGATCGACACAGGCACACGTACTCACATGGTGGTTTTTCAGCAAATCCTTGGGCATTTAGAGCCAGCACTCCAGCAGGCACTCCGCAGGCACTGTGGCGCTCCGAAGCAGAAAAAACCTAGATCTAGGTTTTTTGCTTCCCACTAGGTTTCTAGGTTTTTCATTAACAAACTGATCCTAATCTAATTTTTTTCAGAATGGTGCACTGAAAGCAGAAATCAGTCAACAGTTATAGCCAAGAAAGGGAGAACTGCTACGAGACTTACGCGATGGAGCCATTTACAGGAGATATGAAAGTAGATTACTGGATGCAACTACCTATTCAGGAATGATCACGATTCACGAATAAATATTACTTACTAAGTTAGTAAAGTTACTATGCTCATAAAATGACGACTAGCTTAGTCAGTTATCACTTATCATTAATCCACTCGAGGAGAAACTGGAGAT